TGGGAGGTGTGACTGTGCTTGTGTTGAATGTTTTATAGATCAGAGGTGTGACCGTGCTTGTGTTTAATGTTTTATATTGTGTTTCCTTGTGTCTGTACATTGTGTTTTTTATGGTCTTCCCAGGTTACTCTGTGACCACCCTGAGTGATGGACAGGCAGAATATTTTGTTGCCGGGGCTCCTCGCTCAAACCACTCTGGCCAGGTCATCGTCTACACTGTCACACCCTCAAAACAAGTCACTGTCATGGACTCTGAACGTGGGAAACAGGTACTACTGTCATGAAAATGAAATCTATTCAGTTGAGTTTTCCTTATTCAGATTTGTGCTGTGGGAAGCTCTCCCAACCCTAACAATAACCAATTGAGATTACTTGCCTACTTAAAGGGGGGCTAAACCTCCTAATTTAGCCTAGTTTTTCAGTCATTAAGAAATACAGCGGCCATCGCTGAAGCCAAACAGCAGTTAAAGTGGTGGTGCTTGCCTACGGAGCTGTGAGGGGAACGGCACCTCCGTACCTTCAGGCTCTGATCAGTCCCTACACCCAAACGAGGGCATTGCGTTCATCTACCTCTGGCCTGCTGGCCCCCCTAACTCTGCGGAAGCACAGTTCCCGCTCAGCCCAGTCAAAACTGTTCGCTGCTCTGGCACCCCAATGGTGGAACAAGCTCCCTCACGACGCCAGGACAGCGGAGTCACTCACCACCTTCCGGAGACACTTGAAACCCCACCTCTTTAAGGAATACCTGGGATAGTATAAAGTAATCCCCTTTACCCCACCCCAAAGAAAAAATAAAAAAAAAAGAAAAAAAAACATATTGTAAAGTGGTTGTCCCACTGGCTATAAGGTGAATGCACCAATTTGTAAGTCGCTCTGGATAAGAGCGTCTGCTAAATGACGTAAATGTAAATGTAAAGTCACTCACCCTTCTAGATAACTTGACACAGTCTAACCAGGTCTTGTGTCTTTAAGTCTTTCACCAATTAGCTTTGGCCAGCTGGTGTGCGACCGTGGCAAAGTTGGTTTGACATTAGATAGCCTATCTCTGGGGCTAGTTTGGGATTGTCAATACACAGGTAAACTGACAAAATAATGGAAACACTTGAGTAAATGAGGGATACAAAGTATATTGAAAGCAGGTGCTTTCACACAGGTATTGTTCCTGAGTTAATTAAGCAATTAACATCCCATCATGCTTAGGGTCATGTATAAAAATGCAAGCCATTATTTTGGCCACCATGGGCTATGCCCCCATAGGATGACAATGCCCCCATCCACAGGGCACGAGTGGTCACTGAATGGTTTGATGAGCATCAAAACTATGTAAACCATATGCCCTGGGCCGTCTCAGTCACCAGAGCTCAACCCAATTGAACACTTATGGGAGATTCTGGAGCGGCGCCAGAGGCAGTGTTTTCCACCACCATCAACGAAACACCTAATGATGGAATTTCTTGTGGAAGAATGGTGTCACATCCCTCCAATAGAGTTCCAGACACTTGTAGAATCTATGCCAAGGTGCATTGAAGCTGTTCTGGCCAGTGGTCACCCAACCAACGCCCTATTAAGACACTTTTATGTTGGTGTTTCCTTTATTTTGACAGTGACCTGGATTTCACAATGTAAATGGAACAGTGTTTTCATATTGTACATCTTTTAGTTGTCTCATTAAATGCTTTAACTATTTGTACTATCTTCTCGCAAATCTCCGTTTTGAACAAGACTGACTTAATGAGCAAAATTATTCTATTTACACGTTGTAGTTAATTTCGGTACTAGAATAAATGTTTCTGGCTCACATCAACAAGCAAAAAGGTGTGAATGGGTCAACTCACTTCCTTTTTATTGATTGTTTACTGCGTCAGGGATAGCGTACACAGATGTTTCACCTTCGCAGCGTTCTTCAGTGTGTAGGTACCACACTTTTTAAACCCTGTAATCATAGTCAAGTACGTGAATAATAATAAGCCATTTAGAAGACGCTTTTATCCAAAGCGACTTACAGTCACGTGCGCGCATACATTTTTACGTATGGGTGGTCCCGTGGATCGAACCCACTACCCCTGGCGTTACAAGCGCCTTGCTCTACCAATTGAGCTACAGAGGACCACAGATGTAAGGGACATACTGTGTAACCACAAAGGTGCTGGATGCTGACCTAGACAGGTGCTGCTGTGCAATGCATTATGTGACATGTCTATTTCTCTTCATAAAACAAATGAACCTTGTCTTTTGCCACTGTACACGTCGAGCTTCATCTGTTGGGTGTTGGTGCTCTCTGTCCCTCTAGATCGGCTCCTACTTCGGCAGTGTGCTGTGTCCCCTGGACGTGGACAACGACGGTACGTCAGACATCTTGCTGGTCGGAGCTCCCATGTTCATGAACGACCTGAAGAGGGAACAGGGGAGGGTCTACCTTTTCTCCATTACCAAGGTAACGTGACGCAAGTTGCTGAAATCCACCTCACACCAACCATACTATGATATTTCCTTTCCAGCACGGTTCCAGCCACTATAGCGGATGCATAACCAGGCCAGCGCAGTACAGCTCAGCTCCATTTAGCTCAATAGTGTGAAAACGGTATCTGTGTGTTCTCAAAGTAACTTACATTTACATTTTAGTCATTTAGCAGGCACTCTTCTCCAGATCGACTTACAGGAGCAATTAGCGTTAAGTGCCTTGCTCAAGGGCACATCGACAGATTGTTCACCTAGTCGGCTCTGGGATATAAACCTTTCGGTTACTGGCACAACGCTCTAAACCGCTAGGCTACCTGCCGCCCTGAAGTCTGAAGAGACTGTCCTTCTCTCTCTGTATGTTCTCAGGGTATTTCAAATCAAATCAAATCAAATCAAATTTTATTGGTCACATGCGCCGAATACAACAGGTGCAGACATTACAGTGAAATGCTTACTTACAGCCCTTAACCAACAGTGCATTTATTTTAAACAAAAAAGTAAGAATAAAACAACAACAAAAAAAGTGTTGAGAAAAAAAGAGCAGAAGTAAAATAAAGTGACAGTAGGGAGGCTATATATACAGTAAAATAAAGTGACAGTAGGGAGGCTATATATACAGGGGGGTACCGTTGCAGAGTCAATGTGCGGGGGCACCGGCTAGTTGAGGTAGTTGAGGTAATATGTACATGTGGGTAGAGTTAAAGTGACTATGCATAAATACTTACTTAACAGAGTAGCAGCAGCGTAAAAAGGATGGGGTGGGGGGGCAGTGCAAATAGTCCGGGTAGCCATGATTAGCTGTTCAGGAGTCTTATGGCTTGGGGGTAGAAGCTGTTGAGAAGTCTTTTGGACCTAGACTTGGCACTCCGGTACCGCTTGCCGTGCGGTAGCAGAGAGAACAGTCTATGACTAGGGTGGCTGGAGTCTTTGACAATTTTGAGGGCCTTCCTCTGACACCGCCTGGTATAGAGGTCCTGGATGGCAGGGGGCTTTGCCCCAGTGATGTACTGGGCCGTACGCACTACCCTCTGTAGTGCCTTGCGGTCAGAGGCCAAGCAGTTGCCATACCAGGCGGTGATACAACCAGTCAGGATGCTCTCGATGGTGCAGCTGTAGAATTTTTTGAGGATCTGAGGACCCATGCCAAATCTTTTTAGTCTCCTGAGGGGGAATAGGCTTTGTCGTGCCCTCTTCACGACTGTCTTGGTGTGTTTGGACCATGATAGTTCGTTGGTGATGTGGACACCAAGGAACTTGAAGCTCTCAACCTGTTCCACTACAGCCCCGTCGATGAGAATGGGGGCGTGCTCAGTCCTCTTTTTTTTCCTGTAGTCCACAATCATCTCCTTTGTCTTGGTCACGTTGAGGGAGAGGTTGTTGTCCTGGCACCACACGGCCAGATCTCTGACCTCCTCCCTATAGGCTGTCTCATCGTTGTCGGTGATCAGGCCTACCACTGTTGTGTCGTCGGCAAACTTAATGATGGTGTTGGAGTCGTGCCTGGCCATGCAGTCATGGGTGAACAGAGAGTACAGGAGGGGACTGAGCACGCACCCCTGAGGGGCCCCCGTGTTGAGGATCAGTGTGGCAGATGTGTTGTTACCTACCCTTACCACCTGGGGGCGGCCCGTCAGGAAGTCCAGGATTGAAGTCCAGGATTTAACTCTTTCTCTCTGTATGTTCTCAGGGTATCTACCTCTCTCTCTCTGTATGTTCTCAGGGTATCTACCTCTCTCTCTGTATGTTCTCAGGGTATCTACCTCTCTCTCTCTGTATGTTCTCAGGGTATCTACCTCTCTCTCTGTATGTTCTCAGGGTATCTACCCCTCTCTCTCTCTGTATGTTCTCAGGGTATCTACCTCTCTCTGTATGTTCTCAGGGTATCTACCTCTCTCTCTCTGTATGTTCTCAGGGTATCTACCTCTCTCTCTGTATGTTCTCAGGGTATCTACCTCTCTCTCTCTGTATGTTCTCAGGGTATCTACCTCTCTCTCTGTATGTTCTCAGGGTATCTACCTCTCTCTCTTATGTACAGGGTTCTCTCTCTGTATGTTCTCAGGGTATCTACCTCTCTCTGTATGTTCTCAGGGTATCTACCTCTCTCTCTGTCACGATCGTCTAGGAGTGAAGGAGACCAAAGCGCAGCGCGTTGAACGAACATGACTTTAATTGAAAAAGCACCGAAATACAAAACAAAAGACGACTCGTGAAGTCCACAGTACAACGACTGAAACACGGAACAATAACCCACAATGCCCACAAGAACACATACAGAATAAATATGGCTCCCAATCAGAGATAACGAGCCGACAGCTGACACTCGTTACCTCCGATTGGGAGTCATATGACTAATCAACATAAAACCCAAACATAGAAATGAAACAACTAGATCCCACATAGAAATACACCCAAAAGAAAATGACAACCCTGGCTCACAACTAAGAGTCCCGGAGCCAGAACGTCACAGTACCCCCCCCTAAAGGCGCGGACTGCGACCGCGCCTCACAACCCCACAATAGGGGAGGGCTGGGTGGGTGTTGCTCCCCGGAGGCGGTTCCGGCTCCGGGCTTGACCACCACCCCACTATAGTTACTACCCGCTTTCTTAACCTCCTCCCAATGACCACCCTCCACTTAAACCCACCTGGATTAATGGGCAGCACCGGACTAAGAGGCAGCACCAGGCTAAGGGACAGCACCGGACTAAGGGGCAGCACTGGACTAAGGGGCAGCACCTGACTAAATGGCGGATCCTGGCTGGCTGGCTCTGGCGGATCCTGGCTGGACGGCTCTGGCGGATCCTGGCTGGACGGCTCTGGCGGATCCTGGCTGGACGGCTCATGGCTGGCTGACGGATCTGGCTGCTCATGGCTGGCTGACGGATCTGGCTGCTCATGGCTGGCTGACGGATCTGGCCACTCATGGCTGGCGGAAGGCTCTGGCTGATCCCGTCTGGCGGAAGGCTCTGGCTGCTCCTGTCTGGCGGAAGGCTCTGGCTGATCCGGTCTGACGGAAGGCTCTGGCTGCTCCTGTCTGGCGGAAGGCACTGGCTGATCCTGTCTGGCGGAAGGCTCTGGCTGATCCTGTCTGGCGGAAGGCTCTGGCTGATCCTGTCTGGCGGAAGGCTCTGGCTGATCCTGTCTGGCGGAAGGCTCTGGCTGATCCTGTCTGGCGGAAGGCTCTGGCTGATCCTGTCTGGCGGAGAGCTCTAGCGGCTCCGGTCTGGCGGACGGCTCTGAAGGCTCATGGCAGACGGGCGGCTTTGCAGGCTCAGTACAGACGGGCAGTTCAGACGGCGTTGGGCAGACGGACAGTTCAGACGGCGTTGGGCAGACGGGCAGTTCAGACGGCATTGGGCAGACGGGCATTTCAGGCGCCGTTGGGCAGACGGGCAGTTCAGACGGCGTTGGGCAGACGGGCAGTTCAGACGGCGTTGGGCAGACGGGCAGTTCAGGCGCCGTTGGGCAGACGGGCAGTTCAGACGGCGTTGGGCAGACGGGCAGTTCAGACGGCGTTGGGCAGACGGACAGTTCAGGCCCCGTTGGGCAGACGGCAGACTCTGGCGTCTGAGGCGCACCGTAGGCCTGGTGCGTGGTGCCGGAACTGGAGGTACCGGGCTGAGGACACGCATCTCAGGGCTAGTGCGGGGAGAAGCAACAGGGCATGCTTGGCCCTGGGGACGCACCGTAGGCCTGATGCGTGGTGCCGGAACTGGAGGTACCGGGCTGAGGACACGCATCTCAGGGCTAGTGCGGGAAGCAGCAACAGGGCATGCTTGGCCCTGGGGACGCACATAAGGCCTAGTGCGGAGAGCAGCAACAGGGCATGCTGGACCCTGGGGACGCACATAAGGCCTAGTGCGGAGAGCAGGAACAGGCCGGGCTGGGCTGGCGACGCGCACCGTATCCCTGGTGCGAGAGGCCGGAACAGGCCGGGCCGGGCTGGCGAAGCGCACCGTATCCCTGGTGCGTGGAGTAGGAACAGGCCGGGCTGGGCTGGCGACGCGCACCGTATCCCTGGTGCGAGTGGCCGGAACAGGCCGGGCCGGGCTGGCGAAGCGCACCGTATCCCTGGTGCGTGGAGTAGGAACAGGCCGGGCTGAGCTGGCGACGCGCACCGTATCCCTGGTGCGAGTGGCCGGAACAGGCCGGGCCGGGCTGGCGAAGCGCACCCTATCCCTGGTGCGTGGAGCAGGAACAGGCCGGGCTGGGCTGGCGACGCGCACCGCATCCCTGGTGCGAGTGGCCGGAACAGGCCGGGTCGGGCTGGCGTAGCACACCGTGGACCTGGTGCTTGGAGTAGGAACAGGCCGGTCCGTACCGGGAACACACACCACTGGCCTCAACCGAGGATCAGGAACGGGCCGGACCGGACTGGCAACACACATCAGTCCTTCACGCCGTGCCACAAACACTTCCCTCCCTCTACTCGCCAATGGCTCCCGTACTCCGTTAGCCTTCTCTCCTTTTCTCCCTGTGGCAGCCTCCTGCTGCCCAGCCGCCCAAGCCATGTGCCCCCCCCAAAAAACTTTTTGGGGTTGCCTCCCGTCCTTCCGACGATGGCCCTGCCGATGCCGTTGCTCCTCTCCTGCCAGGTTCTCCCCCTTCATCGCCCTCCGGTACCGGACGGCCTCCTCCTGGGTAATATGTCCCCAGCCGAGGAGGACATCCACCAACGTTCTCTCCTGACCCGGCGCCTCCTCCCATGTCCAGACCCTTTGCTCCTGGACGCGCTGCTTGGTCCTTTTGTGGTGGGTTATTCTGTCACGATCGTCTAGGAGTGAAGGAGACCAAAGCGCAGCGCGTTGAACGAACATGACTTTAATTGAAAAAGCACCGAAATACAAAACAAAAGACGACTCGTGAAGTCCACAGTACAACGACTGAAACACGGAACAATAACCCACAATGCCCACAAGAACACATACAGAATAAATATGGCTCCCAATCAGAGATAACGAGCCGACAGCTGACACTCGTTACCTCCGATTGGGAGTCATATGACTAATCAACATAAAACCCAAACATAGAAATGAAACAACTAGATCCCACATAGAAATACACCCAAAAGAAAATGACAACCCTGGCTCACAACTAAGAGTCCCGGAGCCAGAACGTCACACTCTCTCTGTATGTTCTCAGGGTATCTACCTCTCTCTCTGTATGTTCTCAGGGTATCTACCTCTCTCTCTCTGTATGTTCTCAGGGTATCTACCTCTCTCTCTCTGTATGTTCTCAGGGTATCTACCTCTCTCTCTGTATGTTCTCAGGGTATCTACCTCTCTCTCTCTGTATGTTCTCAGGGTATCTACCTCTCTCTCTCTGTATGTTCTCAGGGTATCTACCTCTCTCTCTGTATGTTCTCAGGGTATCTACCTCTCTCTCTGTATGTTCTCAGGGTATCTACCTCTCTCTGTATGTTCTCAGGGTATACTGAGTGAGCAGGGCTTCTTGGTTGGTCTGAGCCCAGGGGAGAATGCCCGTTTTGGGACGGCCATCTCTGCTGTGCCCGACCTGGACCAGGATGGCTTCTGTGACGTGGTGGTCGGGGCGCCGCTGGAGGACTCAGGGAGGGGCGTGGTCTATGTCTACAACGGAGATAAGAAGACGCTCCACAAACAACACTCACAGGTAGGGGTGGAGGATTCTGGGAACTTTCCCCAAATTCCTTGTTTTTTTAAAGAATCTCAGATGGATGATTCCTGGAATCAGATGTGAACAAGCAGGGAGGGAATCCTCCTACTTGGAGTTCTGAAAGAGCTGGGACAGTTGGGAAAGTTAGGAAAATAAATAAAGTAATTCTGATGTTCACTCTTGGTTTTGATATTGAAGGATTAAAATGTTTCCTTTTTAGCCCCACAAATATTAGAATTAGATTTGTTCCTGCTTTATAGTGAACCAATTCAATAAATATGGCACTTTCCAAAACAAAACAGTTAATCCACTCTCATAGATCATCATATAATGATAACATCCTAAAATGTGGGAAGGGGAATGAAGGGGTGATGGAGTGCATTTCTTAACATTGACATAAAGGGGGAGGCTATATATACAGGGGTTACCGGTGCAGAGTCAATGTGAAATAACAGTAGGGAGGCTATATATACAGGGGGATACCGGTGCAGAGTCAATGTGCGGGGGCACCGGCTAGTTGAGGTAGTTGAGGTAATATGTACATGTGGGTAGAGTTAAAGTGACTATGCATAAATAATTAACAGAGTAGCAGCAGCGTAAAAAGATGGGGTGGGGATGGGGGTGAGGGGGCAATGCAAATAGTCCGGGTAGCCATGATTAGCTGTTCAGGAGTCTTATGGCTTGGGGGTAGAAGCTGTTGAGAAGTATTTTGGACCTAGACTTGGCACTCCGGTACCGCTTGCCGTGCGGTAGCAGAGAGAACAGTCTATGACTAGGGTGGCTGGAGTCTTTGACAATTTTGAGGGCCTTCCTCTGACACCGCCTGGTATAGAGGTCCTGGATGGCAGGAAGCTTGGCCCCAGTGATGTACTGGGCCGTAGGCACTACCCTCTGTAGTGCCTTGCGGTCGGAGGCCGAGCAGTTGCCATACCAGGCGGTGATGCAACCAGTCAGGATAATAATATAATATAATAATATGCCATTTAGCAGACGCTTTTATCCAAAGCGACTTACAGTCATGCGTGCATACATTTTATTTTTATTTTTTATTTTTTGGGGGGTATGGGTGGTCCCGGGGATCAAACCCACTACCTTGGCGTTCCAAGCGCCGTGCTCTACCAGCTGAGCTACAGAGGACCACTATGCTGTCGATGGTGCAGCTGTAGAACCTTTTGAGGATCTGAGGACCCATGCCAAATCTTTTCAGTCTCCTGAGGGGGAATAGGCTTTGTCGTGCCCTCTTCACGACTGTCTTGGTGTGTTTGGACCTTGATAGTTCATTGGTGATGTGGACACCAAGGAACTTGAAGCTCTCAACCTGTTCCACTACAGCCCCGTCGGTGAGAATGGGGGCGTGCTCAGTCCTCTTTTTTTTCCTGTAGTCCACAATCATCTCCTTTGTCTTGGTCACGTTGAGGGAGAGGTTGTTGTCCTGGCACCACACGGTCAGGTCTCTCACCTCCTCCCTATAGGCTGTATCATCGTTGTCTGTGATCAGGCCTACCACTGTTGTGTCGTCGGCAAACTTAATGATGATGTCGGAATCGTGCCTGGCCATGCAGTCATGGGTGAACATGGAGTACAGGAGGGGACTGAGCACGCACCCCTGAGGGGCCCCCGTGTTGAGGATCAGTGTGGCAGATGTGTTGTAACCTACCCTTACCACCTGGGGGCGGCCCGTCAGGAAGTCCAGGATCCAGTTGCAGAGGGAGGTGTTTAGTCCCAGGATCCTTAGCTTAGTGATGAGCTTTGAGGGCACTATGATGTTGAATGCTGAGCTGTAGTCAATGAATAGCATTCTCACGTAGGTGTTCCTCTTGTCAAGGTGGGAAAGGGCAGTGTGGAGTGCAATAGAGATTGCATCATCTGTAGATCTGTTGGGGCGGTATGCAAATTGGAGTGGGTCTAGGGTTTATGGGATAATGGTGTTGATGTGAGCCATGACCAGCCTTTCAAAGCACTTCATGGCTACAGATGTCAGTGCTACGGGTCGATAGTAATTTAGGCAGGTTATCTTAGTGTCCTTGGGCACGGGGACTATGGTGGTCTGCTTGAAACATGTTGGTATTACAGACTCAGTCAGGGACATGTTGAAAATGTCAGTGAAGACACTTGCCAGTTGGTCAGCTCATGCTCGGAGTACACGTCCTGGTAATCCATCTGGCCCTGCAGCCTTGTGAATGTCTTCTATATGCCATATCTTTCTAACTGTGCTCTTTCACAAAAGCTCCCAACCTACAACCTATATACTTATTATGGACACAGTATGCTTACATTATTAGCTATCTTTGTTATTATTTCTTGTTAGTTGTTATTAGTCCCATCCTTCAACTCTATCCAATACCTCCCATCCATCTCTTAACACCATCCATATAGGATTTCTATTTGCCATATATATTTCAACCGTACTGTGATGGTTTACAAAAGTTCTGAACCTTTCTATTCTCATTGCTTCTACAGATTGTATTATTATATTATTGATCGATTGACTATGACTTTTCAGATCACCCAGTAATGCTATCTGCAAGGTTAGCTCCAGGTAAATATTGCAATCCTTTAGCCATTCCTGGACCTGTGTCCAAAAACAAGCTACAAATGGACAGAACCAAAACAAGTGATCTAATGATTCTGTCTCTTCACAGCAAAATCTGCAGGGCTGGGAATATTGTATCCCCCATATAAATAACATTCTATTGGTAGCAAGAATTTTATATAATAATTTAAATAGAAAGATTCTAATTTTTGAACCCGGTGTTGTTTTGCGTGTCAGTTCAAAAACACTATGCCATGGGATCGGTACGTCAAAGATCTCTTCCCAACTATTTTGCAATCTATATGGGACGGCTGTCAATCCTTTGGTCCTTAAGTGAAACTGATATACTTTTTTATTTATCACAATTATGTTCTTTAATGGAAGGCCGACAGACAAGTTCCTTACTTTCTCCCCCTTCCACTTTCCTCTTCCATTTTTGCGGTAAGGCTGCAATTATTTGGTTGTAATTTTGGGTAGAGCAGACATTTCCATATGTTTTTGTTAGCTGCATGTGCGACATAACTCCACCAGTCCTACCGATGATATCATTTACGAAGATTATACCTTTTTTAAACATTCTGTCAAAAAATAAAGTTTTTTTGTCAATTAGTATATTTGAATTTAACCACAATATTTGTTGCATTATTTGTTCTGTCGTTTCTGGAGGATTAAATTGAAATTGCAACCAACTTTCTATGGCTTGTTTTAGAAATAGTGATATTTGGGAGATTATTTCCTTTTCAAATAACTGCAAATGAGTTGTTGTAATCTGAATAAAGGGACAAAGGCCTTTCTTAAACATTGGGTGAGACAATCTTACTAATTTGCTTGAGAACCAGTTCGGATTTAAGTATAACTTTTGTATGACTGAAGCTTTTAGTGATAGGTCTAATGATTTAATATTTAATAATTTCTGTCCTCCGAATTCATATTCATTATATAAATATGCCCTTTTAATTTTGTCTGGCTCGCCGTTCCAAATAAAATTGAATATTTTTTTCTCATATAATTTAAAAAAAATGTTCGCTAGGCGTAGGCAAGACCATAAGCAAATAGGTAAACTGGGATAATACTAAAGAGTTAATCAGGGTGATTTTTCCATAAATTGAGAGGTATTTTCCTTTCCATGGTAGTAAGATCTTATCTATTTTTGCTAACTTTCTATTAACATTTATTGAAGTGAGATCATTTATTTCCTTTGGGATATGTATTCCGAGTATATCCACATCACCATCAGACCATTTTATTGGTAAACTACATGGTAATGTAAAAATTGTATTTTTTAGTGATCCAATACGTAATATAGTACATTTGTCATAATTTGGTTGTAATCCAGAGAGGTTAGAAAATGTATCTAGATCATCTATGAGGCTGTGGAGGGATTCTAGTTGTGGATTTAAAAGAAAACATGAATCATCAGCGTACAATGACACCTTTGTTTTTAAGCCCTGGATTTCTAATCCTCTGATATTATTATTGGATCTGATTTTAATAGCTAACATCTCGATGGCCACAATAAATAGATATGCCGATAGTGGACAACCTTGTTTCACTCCTCTTGACAGTTTAAAACTTTCTGAGAAATAGCCATTATTTACTATTTTACACCTAGGGTTACTATACATGATTTTGACCCATTTTATAAGAGATTCTCCAAAATTGAAATGCTCCAGGCATTTATATATAAACCCCAGTCGAACTTTATCAAATGCCTTTTCGAAGTCTGCTATGAATAGCAGGCCTGGTTTCCCATATTTTCCATAGTGTTTTATTGTTTCCAATACTTGCCTTATATTATCTCCAATGTATCTTCCATGTAAAAAACCTTAGAATGAATAATATCCGACAATACCTTTTTAATTCTATGCGCTATACATTTTGCTAGGATTTTTGCATCACAACACTGAAGTGTAAGGGGCCTCCAATTTTGTAAATGGACTGGATCTTTATATTTTCCACTGGCATCCTGTTTCAGTAATAATGAGATCAGACCTTCTTCTTGAGTGTCAGATAATCTACCATTTACATAGGAGTGGTTAAAACATGCTAATAACGGTCCTCTTAGTATATCAAAAAAGGTTTGGTATACCTCGACTGGTATGCCATCCAACCCTGGAGTTTTCCCAGACTTAAAGTCTTTAATTGCATCCAGAAGTTCCTCCTCTGTAATTTCACCTTCACATGAGTCTTTCTGTGTGGCTGTTAATTTGACATTATCAATAGAAAAAAAATCTCTACAATTAGCTTCAGTTGGAGGCGACTGAAAAGAAAACATATGCTTAAAGTACTTTGTTTCTTCTTTCAAAATATCATTTGGTTTATTATGGGTGACACCGTCAATTGTAACCAGTTTCATTAAGTTATTTTTGGTAGCATTCCTATGTTGAAGATTATCCAGTTTGCTTTATTTTAATAATATATTACACTTGATCTTTCTTGAATAAGTTTCTCCATTTCTTTTTGTTTTTCCTCTAATTTATTCTGAACCTCTATGTTACAGTTTTTATTGCCATCTATCTGTTCTGTTAGACTTTCTATTTCCTTTCTTAGTATAAACTCTTTTGACCTAAATTGCTTTTGTTTTCGAGATGAATACTGAATTGCATGGCCTCTAAAGGCACATTTAAAAGTGTCCCATACAATATGGGGATTCGCTGTACCTATGTTAGGTTGGAAAAAGTCAGTTATAAATTCCTTTGTTCTAATTATAAATAAATTATCATCCAATAGGCTTTGATTAAATTTCCAATATCCTCGCCCATGTGGAAATTCAGTAAGAGTAAAATATATGCCTATTATATGATGGTCCGACCGCATTCTGTCCCCTATCAACACTTTTTTTTTACTTTTGGTGCCAACGAGAATGAGATAAGAAAGAAGTCAAGACGACTAGCTTGATTCAGTCTCCGCCATGAATATCTCACTAGATCAGTATATTTAAGCCTCCATATATCTACTAGTTCTAATGTATCCATGACATTCACAATTTCCTTAAGAGCATGTGGGTGATTGTTTGTGGTGTGATTTCCTTTACGGTCCATTGAGCTATTTAAAACAGTATTATAATCCCCCACCATAATAATATTGTCTTGAATTGTCTTAATTGCTTGCAGGGTTGATAATTTATTATATATATATATTGTCAAATAATTGTGGATAATCATGATTTGGTCCATAAAGGTTAATGAGCCATATCTGTTTATGGACCAATAACATATTTAAAATAATCCATCTACCTTGCGTATCTATTTGGACAATTTGCATTATCTGATTGTTATTATCAGCTAAGCCATTACAATTACAGTGGGGAAAAAAAGTATTTAGTCAGCCACCAATTGTGCATGTTCTCCCACTTGAAAAGATGAGAGAGGCCTGTAATTTTCATCATAGGTACACGTCAACTATGACAGACAAATTAAGAAAAAAATAAACAGAAAATCACATTGTAGGATTTTTAATGAATTTATTTTGCAAATTATGGTGGAAAATAAGTATTTGGTCACCTACAAACAAGCAAGATTTCTGGCTCTCACAGACCTGTAACTTCTTCTTTAAGAGGCTCCTCTGTCTTCCACTCGTTACCTGTATTAATGGAACCTGTTTGAACTTGTTATCAGTATAAAAGACACCTGTCCACAACCTCAAACAGTCACACTCCAAACTCCACTATGGCCAAGACCAAAGAGCTGTCAAAGGACACCAGAAACAAAATTGTAGACCTGCACCAGGCTGGGAAGACTGAATCTGCAATAGGTAAGCAGCTTGGTTTGAAGAAATCAACTGTGGGAGCAATTATTAGGAAATGGAAGACATACAAGACCACTGATAATCTCCCTCGATCTGGGGCTCCACGCAAGATCTCACCCCGTGGGGTCAAAATGATCACAAGAACGGTGAGCAAAAATCCCAGAACCACACGGGGGGACCTAGTGAATGACCTGCAGAGAGCTGGGACCAAAGTAACAAAGCCTACCATCAGTAACACACTACGCCGCCAGGGACTCAAATCCTGCAGTGCCAGACGTGTCCCCCTGCTTAAGCCAGTACGTGTCCAGGCCCGTCTGAAGTTTGCTAGAGTGCATTTGGATGATCCAGAAGAGGATTGGGAGAATGTCATATGGTCAGATGAAACCAAAATAGAACTTTTTGGTAAAAACTCAACTCGTCGTGTTTGGAGGACAAATAATGCTGAGTTGCATCCAAAGAACACCATACCTACTGTGAAGCATGGAGGTGGAACCATCATGCTTTGGGGCTGTTTTTCTGCAAAGGGACCAGGACGACTGATCCGTGTAAAGGAAAGAATGAATGGGGCCATGTATCGTGAGATTTTGAGTGAAAACCTCCTTCCATCAGCAAGGGCATTGAAGATGAAACGTGGCTGGGTCTTTCAGCATGACAATGATCCCAAACACACTGCCCGGGCAACGAAGGAGTGGCTTCGTAAGAAGCATTTTAAGGTCCTGGAGAGGCCTAGCCAGTCTCCAGATCTCAACCCCATAGAAAATCTTTGGAGGGAGTTGAAAGTCTGTGTTGCCCAGCGACAGCCCCAAAACATCACTGCTCTAGAGGAGATCTGCATGGAGGAATGGGCCAAAATACCAGCAACAGTGTGTGAAAACCATGTGAAGACTTACAGAAAACGTTTGACCTGTGTCATTGCCAACAAAGGGTATATAACAAAGTATTGAGAAACTTTTGTTATTGACAAAATACTTATTTTCCACCATAATTTGCAAATAAATTCATAAAAAACCCTACAATGTGATTTTCTGGATTTCTTTTTCTCATTTTGTCTGTCATAGTTGACGTGTACCTATGATGAAAATTACAGGCCTCTCTCATCTTTTTAAGTGGGAGAACTTGCACAATTGGTGGCTGACTAAATACTTTTTTCCCCACTGTATAACTGGCTATACTTATTTCACCATACACCATAATGAGATACAAGTTTCAAGTCTATTTATCATTATATATGTTTGTAAATTTACCAATAAAAAATACCGTAATTATTGAGTGTCCATATAGCTGTACCATGATATTTGCATTGCTATGGAGTAACCCTTCAATTGTTCTCCACTAATTCCCCCGCTAAAGCCCCTCCCCATCCCAAGTTGAGCCGTCATCTCAGTGATCAGCATCCCACCCACGTCCCTCCGGATCCCTAATGCCCCGAGAGGCCAGGACCCATCCAACGAAAACAGCACACAGTGCCACCCACAAAACAGAAGCAGATTAACCGCCAAAAGCATTTCCAATACTTTCACCTCTATATATATATCTATATAACAATTTTTAAAAAATTATGCATATCCTATTTTCCATTATTATCAATTAATATGCGTAATAATGTCGGCAGTTCACGCGTAGGATTCTAACATATAACCCAGATTGCCATTGTATTACATTTAATTCATTGACAAGCAATTATTATCCTAGCAAATAATTCCTGTGTTCCATCCCATACCCCCCCCCTCCAACATCCCCACCCCCCCACAACAGACGCCAGACAAGCACACACGCACATATTCACATACTCCAACACACTCAACCCCCCTCCTCCACAATCCACCATAAAATCAGACACTTAACGGCTGTTATATCCCAGAGCCCAACTCGAGAAATAACCTGATTACAGAAATAACCTGAACCACATACAGTTAAAGCTGATTGAAAAAGCATGCAGATTGAGCAGAAATTGATAACAATGTGAGATTTGATTAATCTACTTAATCTATGTCAAGTCCTAGGTGATGGAGATCAGATCCACCCTCTTCACCTGAGACACAAACACTGATCCCCTGTTGTAACCATTCTCCCAAGCATCTCCGTGCGGTCAGACCTTTGATTATTTTGTGCCACCTGGGCCACAATGATAAACCCCCTCTCTGATTGTCCAAGTGTGACCCCCTCCACATGGGTTACTGCAGCCAGTGTTGCTAGCACTGCCACAACCTGCTTAAAAGTCTTACTCACATTGGCTACGGAGAGCATGATCACATAGTCATCCGGAACAGCTGGTGCTCTCATGCATGCTTCAGTGTTGTTTGCCTCAAAGCGAGCAAAGAAGTGGTTTAGCTCGTCTGGAAGTCTTGTGTCACTGGGCAGCTCGCGGCTTTTTTTCCCTTTGTAGTCTGTAATAGTTTTCAAGCCCTGCCACATCCGACGAGCATCAGAGCCGGTGTAGTACGATTCAATCGTCGGAGGGCATAGCGGGATTTCTCCTTGAAAGCGGCAGCTCTACCCTTTAGCTCAGTGTGGATGTTGCCTGTAATCCATGGCTTCTGGTTGTTGTGTCAGTCTGTGCTAGCAAAACAGTCCTGTAGCTTAGCATCTGCGTCATCTGACCACTTTTTTATTAACCGAGTCACTGGTGCTTCCTGCTTTAGTTTTTGCTTATAAGCAGGAATCAGGAGGATAGAGTTATGGTCAGATTTGCCAAATGGAGGGCAAGGGAGAGCTTTGTACGCGTCTCTGTGTGTGGAGTAAAGGTGGTCTAGAGCCTAAACAAGTGTGTGTTTCTTTCGCCTCCAGATTACTCTCTGTCCCTAACACTAAAACTTAAACTAAATAAATATCAACAAAATGTTTTTATCAAACTGAAACAAAAAAAAGAGTAAATCAAGTCTAAAAACTAACTGAAACTAAACTGAATTTTAACAGGTTGCTTTATCGACCTCTCAGACAGTAGAAAATGATGTAACACTTCCTGCATTTTCTTTATGTAAAATGATCTGGTCTTATCTTTGAGTTCATCAATGAATTTAGGATTTAGCAATAATGAATTGTTTAGCCTCCTTCGAGTGAGGGAGAGAGAGAGAGAGAGAGAGAGAGAGAGAGAGAGAGAGAGAGAGAGAGAGAGAGAGAGAGAGAGAGAGAGAGAGACAGACAGACAGACAGACAGACAGACAGACAGACAGACAGACAGACAGAGAGAGAGAGAGAGAAGAGCAGAGAGAGAGAGAGAGAGAGACGAGAGAGAGACCAGAGAGAGAGAGAGAGAGAGAGAGAGAGAGAGAGAGAGAGAGAGAGAGAGAGACAGACAGACAGACAGACAGACAGACAGACAGACAGACAGACAGACAGACAGACAGACAGACAGACAGACAGACAAGACAGACGACAGACAGACAGACAGACAGAGAGAGAGAGAGAGAGAGAGAGAGAGAGAGAGAGAGAGAGAGAGAGAGAGAGAGAGAGAGAGAGAGAGAGAGAGAGAGAGAGAGAGAGAGAGAGAGAGAGAGAGAGGACCAGGGTCATGATTCAAATAAAATAAAATGTAATTGTCACGTGCTTGGTAAACAACAGGTGTAGACTAACAGTGAAACTAGAAATAATAGAAAAGTCAAAACACTAGGAGTAAATACACAATGAGGAATGATAACTTGGCTATATACACAGGGTACCAGTATCGAGTCGATGTGCAGCGGTACGAGATAATTAAGGTAGATATGGAAATATGGGAAGGGGTAAAGTGACTAAGCAACAGGATAGATAATAGACAGTAGCAGCAGTATACTGTAGGTAGGGGTAAAGTGACTAGACAACAGGATAGATAATAGACAGTAGCAGCAGTATACTGTAGGTAGGGTAAAGTGACTAGGCAACAGGATAGATAATAGACAGTAGCAGCAGTATACTGTAGGTAGGGGTAAAGGGACTAGACAACAGGATAGATAATAGACAGTAGCAGCAGTATACTGTAGGTAGGGGTAAAGGGACTAGACAACAGGATAGATAATAGACAGTAGCAGCAGTATACTGTAGGTAGGGGTAAAGGGACTAGACAACAGGATAGATAATAGACAGTAGCAGCAGCGTATGCACTGAATCAAAAGAGTTAGTGGGAAAAGGGTCAATGCAGATAGTCCGGCTAGCTATTGGTTAACTATTTAGCAGTCTAATGGCTTGGGGGTAGAATCTGTTCAGGGTCCAGCTGGTTCCAAACTTGGTGCATCAGTACCGCTTGCCATGCAGCAGCAGAGAGAACAGTCTATGGCTTGGGTGGCTGGAGAATTTGACAATTTGAAGGGCCTTCCTCTGACACAGCCTGGTATAGAGGTGCAGCTGTAGAACTTTTTTTGAGGATCTGAGTTCCCATGCCGAATCGTTTCAGCCTCCTGATGGGGAAGAGGCGGTGGCGTGCCCTCTCCACTGCCATGTTGGTGTGAGCGGACCATGATCATTCCTTAGTGACGTGGACACAGAGGAACCACTCCACCACAGACCCCGTTGATGTCATAACACCCCCCCCCCCCCCCCCCCCCCCCCCCAATACAGGAAGCAGTTAGGTGATTTTTTTTGTTTGTTTCCTATCCTAGAGAATCCTTGGGTCGAAGTTTGACTTTATGATGCAGTATTTTGGGCGGTCTCTGGACGGCTATGGGGACATGAATGACGACACCATACCTGATATCTCCGTTGGGGCTCATGGGAAGGTGATCCAGCTCTGGTGAGTTCAACCATCATTGCACTGGAGGGTAGCCTGCTCTCAGATCTGTTTGTACTGTCTTGCCCAACTCCTATGGTCATTGTCACGCCAAATAAGACAGCACAAACAGATCTGGAACCAGGCTACTGGAAGGGTCATGAGATCTTGTGAATTTTGACTTGACTCTTGAATCTTGACGCTTTGGAGCCAAGTTCCAACGATAATGATATTTGGTGACTATTTCAAATTGGGCATTTCGGCATCATTTAAGATATCTCAGATTAGAAGCTAGAAATAAGATTTTCTAAGTCAATTAACTGTTCTTCGATGGCTTGTGTGCTTACCAACAACACAAGCTCCAAATAATGATTCCTCTTTCAAGGAACGAGACAGGGCTGTCCACTCTTGCCTCTGCTATTCACGTTAAAGCTAAGTGATCTGTTTTTCCTTAGGTCTCGAGGACTGGCTGCGGTGACGGCCAAGGCTTCTTTCTCCCCTGATAAAATCAACATCCTGAGTAAGCCTTGCTTGATAAACGGACAGAAGCTCTCCTGTTTCAAGACGGACATCTGCTTCAGCGCAACATTTAGACCAATGAACCCTGTGGGACCCCTAAGTAAGACTGATGTACTATACTCTTATGCACTCTACTCTACTCTACTATATTCTACTCTACTCTACTCTACTCTACTCTAATGTACTATACTCTAATGTACTTTACTCTACTCAAATGTACTCTACTCTTCTCTTCTGTACTCTACTCTAATGTACTCTAATGTACTCTACTCTACTCTAATGTACTCTACTCTAATGTACTTTACTCAACTCTAATGTACTCTACTCTAATGTACTTTACTCAAATGTACTTTACTCTACTCTAATGTACTCTACTCTACTCTAATGTACTCTACTCTACTCTAATGTACTCTACTCTACTCTAATGTACTCTATTCTACTCTAATGTACTCTGCTCTACTCTAATGTACTCTAATCTAATGTACTCTACTCTACTCTAATGTACTCTACTCTAATGTACTTTACTCAAATGTACTTTACTCTACTCTAATGTACTCTACTCTACTCTAATGTACTTTACTCTACTCTAATGTACTCTACTCTACTCTAATGTACTCTACTCTACTCTAATGTACTCTACTCTAATGTACTCTACTCTAATGTACTTTACTCAACTCTAATGTACTCTACTCTAATGTACTTTACTCAAATGTACTCTACTCTACTCTAATGTACTCTACTCTAATGTACTCTACTCTACTCTAATGTACTCTACTCGAATGTGCTCTACTCTAATGTACTCTACTAAAATGTACTTTACTCTTCTCTACTCAAATGTACTCTACTCTACTCTAATGTACTCTACTCTAATGTACTCTACTCTACTCTAATGTACTCTACTCTAATGTACTTTACTCAACTCTAATGTACTCTACTCTAATGTACTTTACTCTACTCTAATGTACTCTACTCTACTCTAATGTACTCTACTCTACTCTAATGTACTCTACTCGAATGTGCTCTACTCTAATGTACTCTACTAAAATGTACTTTACTCTTCTCTACTCAAATGTACTCTACTCTACTCTAATGTACTCTACTCTACTCTACTCTAATGTACTATACTCTACTCTACTCTGCTCTGCTCTACTATAAGGTTGATATATATAAGGTTGATGTACTCTACTACTCTATGTGTTTGGGCCACCATCGCTGAGTTTATTTATCGCTGATGTTTTCACTAGTAACTATCTTCATTTCTTGATGCTTTTGGTAACACTTTATATTAAGTTGTGCTTGCTTATAAGTACAGTACAGCGCCTTCAGAAAGTATTCATGTGCCTTGACTTATTCCACATGTTGTCTTACGGCCTGAATTCAAAATGGATTCAATTATGTTTTTCTCACCCATCTACACACAATACCACATAATGACAAAGTGAAAACATGCTTATAAGAAATGTTTGCAAATTTATTGAAAATGAAATACAGAAATATCTCATTTACATAAGTATTCACACCCCTGAGTCAATACTTTGTAGAAGCACCTTTGGCAGCAATTACAGCTGTGAGTCTTTCTGGGTAAGTCTATAAGAGCTTTCCACACCTGGATTGTGCAACATTATTTACACAATTTTGTCAGTTTGGTTGTTTATCATTGCTAGACAACCATTTTCAGGTCTTGCCATAGATCTACAAGTAGATTTAAGTCAAAACTGTGACTTGGCCACTCAGAAACATTCACTGTCTTCTTGGTAAGTAACTCCAGTGTATATTTGGCCTTGTGTTTTAGGTTATTGTCCTGCTGAAATGTGAATTCCTCTCCCAGTGTCTGGTGGAAATCAGACTGAACCAGGTTTTCCTCTAGGATTTTGCTTGTGCTTAACTCCATTCCATTTCTTTTTTATCCTGAAAAACTCCCCAGTACTTAACGATTACAAGCATACCCATAACATGATGCATCCACCACCATGCTTGAAAGTATGGAGAGTGGTACTCAGTAACAACATTTTGTGCAGTATTACTTTAGTGCCTTGTTACAAACAGGATTCATGTTTTGGAATAGTTTTATCCTCATTATTCTCCAATCACAGCCATTAAACTCTGTAACTGTTTTAAAGTCACCATTGGCCTCATGGTGAAATCTCGGAGAAGTTTCCAACCTCTCCGGCAACTGAGTTAGGAAGGATGCCTGTATCTTTGTAGTGACTGGGTGTATTTTGTAAGTCGCTCTGGATAAGAGCGTCTGCTAAATGACGTAAATGTAAAAAAAAAAGTAAATGTATTGATACAACATGCAAAGTGTAATTAATAACATTTACATTTTTTACATTTAAGTCATTTAGCAGACGCTCTTATCCAGAGCGACTTACAGGAGCAATTAGGGTTAAGTGCCTTGCTCAAGGGCACATTTACGTCATTTAGTAGACGCTCTAGTCCAGAGCGACTCACAAATTGATGCATTCACCCTATAGCCAGTGGGATAACCACTTTACTATTTTTTTTTTTTGGGGGGGGGGGGGGGGGGGGGTAGAAGGATTACTTTATCCTATCCCAGGTATTCCTTAAAGAGGTGGGGTTTCAAATGTCTCCGGAAGGTGGTGAGTGACTCCGCTGTGGGGGGGGGGGGGTAGAAGGATTACTTTATCCTATCCCAGGTATTCCTTAAAGAGGTGGTAAGCACATTTTTACTCCTGAACTTATTTAGGCTTGCCATAAAAAAAGGGGTTGAATACTTATTGACTCAAGACATTTCAGCTTTTCATTTTAAATTAATCAGAATTTTTTTCAACAAACAGAATTCCACTTTGACTTTATGGGGTATTGTGTGTCGGCCAGTGACAAAAAAATCTCAATTTAATCCATTTTAAATTGAGTCTGTAACAAAATCTGGAGAAAGTCAAGGGGTGTAATACTTTCTGAAGGCACTATATTATACTATGTTAGTTACCAGAATGTCTGAAAATAAGATCCATATTCTATATATTCCCAAACTAAGCACCCTAAGATGGCTGTTTCCCTACAGCTGTCAAATACAACCTAACTCTGGATGCTGACCTGCAGTCGTCCCGGGTCAACTCACGAGGCCTGTTCAGTCAGAACCGTGAACGACTCCTCTCTGGAAACATTCAGATATCATCATCCACCCCTGTTTGCCACAATTACCAAGTTTACGTTCAGGTGAAGACAAAGGTTAAAGGGGTGATAATATAACCATGTGCATAAAACTCCAATATTCCATAGTTTTGCTGTTTAAAAGTATATTAACCTTTGGGGTAGGCTATCCATTTACAGTATTCAGAGTATAGCTTGCATTAACATTTATTAGCCTATCACATCTCGGGGGCATTGTGATGAATCACAATCACGTGACAAGAGACAAATACAGTCATCTCAATCATCATCTTCAATGTTTTTTTTCAGGATAGCGCAGACTTTGTGAACTCCATCAGTCTGCGTGTTGACATTGGCCTTCAGAACCCAGACGCCAACCCTGTCCTTGATGTTTTCTCTCAGACTGCATGGGACTTCTCTGTGAGTTAGCCTCTCTCCTCTCTGTGAGTTAGCCTCTCTCCTCTCTGTGAGTTAGCCTCTCTCCTCTCTGTGAGTTAGCCTCCCTCCTCTCTGTAGGTTAGCCTCTCTCCTCTCTGTGAGTTAGCCTCTCTCCTCTCTGTAGGTTAGCCTCTCTCCTCTCTGTAGGTTAGCCTCTCTCCTCTCTGTGAGTTAGCCTCTCTCCTCTCTGTGAGTTAGCCTCTCTCCTCTCTGTGAGTTAGCCTCTCTCCTCTCTGTGAGTTAGCCTCTCTCCTCTCTGTGAGTTAGCCTCCCTCCTCTCTGTGAGTTAGCCTCTCTCCTCTCTGTGAGTTAGCCTCTCTCCTCTCTGTGAGTTAGCCTCTCTCCTCTCTGTGAGTTAGCCTCTCTCCTCTCTGTGAGTTAGCCTCCCTCCTCTCTGTAGGTTAGCCTCTCTCCTCTCTGTGAGTTAGCCTCTCTCCTCTCTGTAGGTTAGCCTCTCTCCTCTCTGTGAGTTAGCCTCTCTCCTCTCTGTGAGTTAGCCTCTCTCCTCTCTGTGAGTTAGCCTCTCTCCTCTCTGTGAGTTAGCCTCTCTCCTCTCTGTGAGTTAGCCTCTCTCCTCTCTGTAGGTTAGCCTCCCTCCTATCTGTGAGTTAGCCTCTCTCCTCTCTGTGAGTTAGCCTCTCTCCTATCTGTGAGTTAGCCTCCCTCCTCTCTGTGAGTTAGCCTCTCTCCTCTCTGTAGGTTAGCCTCTCTCCTCTCTGTAGGTTAGCCTCTCTTCTCTCTGTAGGTTAGCCTCCCTCCTCTCTGTGAGTTAGCCTCTCTCCTCTCTGTGAGTTAGCCTCTCTCCTCTCTGTAGGTTAGCCTCTCTCCTCTCTGTGAGTTAGCCTCTCTCCTCTCTGTGAGTTAGCCTCCCTCCTCTCTGTAGGTTAGCCTCTCTCCTCTCTGTAGGTTACCCTCTCTCCTATCTGTGAGTTAGCCTCTCTCCTCTCTGTGAGTTAGCCTCTCTCCTCTCTGTGAGTAAGCCTCTCTCCTATCTGTGAGTTAGCCTCCCTCCTCTCTGTAGGTTAGCCTCTCTCCTCTCTGTGAGTTAGCCTCTCTCCTCTCTGTGAGTTAGCCTCCCTCCTCTCTGTGAGTTAGCCTCTCTCCTCTCTGTGAGTTAGCCTCCCTCCTCTCTGTAGGTTAGCCTCTCTCCTCTCTGTAGGTTACCCTCTCTCCTATCTGTGAGTTAGCCTCTCTCCTCTCTGTGAGTTAGCCTCTCTCCTCTCTGTGAGTTAGCCTCTCTCCTCTCTGTGAGTTAGCCTATCTCCTCTCTGTGAGTTAGCCTCTCTCCTCTCTGTGAGTTAGCCTCCCTCCTATCTGTGAGTTAGCCTCTCTCCTCTCTGTGAGTTAGCCTCTCTCCTCTCTGTAGGTTAGCCTCTCTCCTCTCTGTGAGTTAGCCTCTCTCCTCTCTGTGAGTTAGCCTCCCTCCTCTCTGTAGGTTAGCCTCTCTCCTCTCTGTAGGTTACCCTCTCTCCTATCTGTGAGTTAGCCTCTCTCCTCTCTGTGAGTTAGCCTCTCTCCTCTCTGTGAGTTAGCCTCTCTCCTCTCTGTGAGTTAGCCTCCCTCCTCTCTGTAGGTTAGCCTCTCTCCTCTCTGTGAGTTAGCCTCTCTCCTCTCTGTGAGTTAGCCTCCCTCCTCTCTGTAGGTTAGCCTCTCTCCTCTCTGTGAGTTAGCCTCTCTCCTCTCTGTGAGTTAGCCTCTCTCCTCTCTGTGAGTTAGCCTCTCTCCTCTCTGTGAGTTAGCCTCCCTCCTCTCTGTAGGTTAGCCTATCTCCTCTCTGTGAGTTAGCCTCTCTCCTCTCTGTGAGTTAGCCTCCCTCCTCTCTGTAGGTTAGCCTCTCTCCTCTCTGTGAGTTAGCCTCCCTCCTCTCTGTAGGTTAGCCTCTCTCCTCTCTGTGAGTTAGCCTCCCTCCTCTCTGTAGGTTAGCCTCTCTCCTCTCTGTGAGTTAGCCTCCCTCCTCTCTGTGAGTTAGCCTCTCTCCTCTCTGTAGGTTAGCCTCCCTCCTCTCTGTAGGTTAGCCTCTCTCCTCTCTGTGAGTTAGCCTCTCTCCTCTCTGTAGGTTAGCCTCCCTCCTCTCTGTGAGTTAGCCTCTCTCCTCTCTGTGAGTTAGCCTCTCTCCTCTCTGTAGGTTAGCCTCTCTCCTCTCTGTGAGTTAGCCTCCCTCCTCTCTGTGAGTTAGCCTCCCTACTGTCTGTGAGTTAGCCTCCCTCCTCTTTCTCAGCCTCCTTTGTCTCACTCTGTGGGTACAATCTGTCACTTTCATTTACGCGTAAACATGTTTCCCCTGGTCTGCACCTGTTTCTAAAACTGTGGGTGGTGGGTAATATCGCATATACTGTATATTGCTTTTCTAAAACCCATACGATTCCGTTGTCCCCAACAGAAGAAATGCAACTGAAACGCATTTTAATTGTGGCCCGTGTGGTCCAGCGGTTACAGCCGCTGACCCCGGTACACATGGGTTCCACTCCCCCTAACCCTGTCTTTCCAACACGTTATTATCTCTTCAATAAAGCAAACTCATTATTACGAAAGGAGCGGGATGGCCTTAAAGAAAGAAAAAAAAAAAAGAAGCTATTTAATTGAGATTCCACCAGCCGTTTGAAACATTGGTTAAATCTGCAAACTATTGTCCAACGGTGGTCTTCTCTCCATTCTCTGCGGGTAGCTCCCCTTCGCCATAGACTGTGGTTCTGATGGCGTGTGTGTTAGTGATCTGGTGCTCAGCGTGAAGACGGGGACAGAGGTACCCAGGTGAGTGTTACATCTAAGGGCGTTCTGCTTACACTGCAAACCAGCAACACGTTTTTGGATAGTGTTTTCTACGTGGTGTATGGGCATGTTTGTGAATGTCAGCAGCACTGGTGGGGTAGTGTGTGTTTTTGGATAGTGTTTTCTACGTGGTGTATGGGCATGTTAGTGAATGTCAGCAGCACTGGTGGGGTAGTGTGTGTTTTTGGATAGTGTTTTCTACGTGGTGTATGGGCATGTTAGTGAATGTCAGCAGCACTGGTGGGGTAGTGTGTGTTTTTGGATAGTGTTTTCTACGTGGTGTATGGGCATGTTAGTGAATGTCAGCAGCACTGGTGGGGCAGTGTGTGTTTGCGAAGGCAAAAAAATAAATCTAAGTCCGTTTTTTTTCTGATTTTGTTGAGAATCTTCAGATGCTCTATCCAAATAAAGTGTTACCAAAACGAATGTCTCAAACGATACCATTATTTAGATAGAGACCTGTTAATCAGACGTTCCTTGTAGGCTAAATCAGGACTAAATCACATGGGACATTAGGGGACTGTGGAATAAATCTGTCATCATCTTTCCAGCCCTGTATCCCCTGACAACAATGACTCTATTTTAGTCTGTTTTTATGTGAGCTTGATTTAATTAAGAAAGCTTTAACAACTTAAAGCATTTACGTTTAAACAGAACACAGAACACTCATAAAGTGTGTGGGACTGTCTGAACACAACATGGTCTGGAAATCAGAGTGAGTGAGTGACATAAGCTCTATGTTCAACAGCAGTTGAGACTAAAATGAGATCCTGACATTTCAGGAATTTTTTCTGTACTTCCCAATTTTTGCATTCGACACATTTTGATCACGTCCGCAATCCTGTTTCAGCGAGGGGTGTGCAGCTGCTTGTGATTATTGTTGATGCCTTGTATTTGTAGAGTGAAAGTCCAACTGAATGATCAACTCTGATGTTTTACAGCAGGGGCTCTCCAACCATGTTCCCCCCTGTAGGTTTTCACTACAACCCCAGTTGTAACTAACCTGTTTTATCTTATCAACCAGCTAATTATTAGAATCAAGATGTGCTAGATCAGGGTTGGAGTGAAAACTTACAGGACGGCAGCTCTCCAGGAACAGAGTTTGGCAGTTCTCTTGTAGTCATCTTATCATCATATTACCATCTCTCTCTCAATCTTTTACGTTCATTAAGTAATGACTGGTACTTGTTGTCTTGACAGTGCTGGCTCTGTGCTGGTTAGTTGTAACAACAGAGAGATCTCCTTTGAGGTACTAGTGAAGAACAACAAGGAGAATGCGTACAGTGCTCAGATCTTGGTCACATACTCCAAGAACCTCTTCTATGCTTCCGTAACATCTCCAGTGAGTTCTGAAAGACGTAAAAAAAAATATCAACATAGAGTGTAAAACTGTAAAACAGTATTTGCAGAACCAATGTACAACTGTAAAATGATATTGACAAAACCAATGTAAAACAGTGTTGACAGAACCAAAACTCCTGACACTTTATTTTGTCATAGTCTGTATTTGATAAAGATCTTAGATTCTTGGTAAATATATGTATACTCTATTCCCTATTTAGTGCACTACATTTGGCCTGAAAAGTAGTGCACTGTATTGAGAATAGGGTGCTATTTCGGATGCAACCTAGCTCTCTTTTAACTGTGTATTTCAATGACAGAGTGACGGGAAAGAGGTGAAGTGCACATCTACGACACAAAGTGGCGAGCTAGCCTGTCAGGTGGGATACCCTGCCTTAGAGAAGGACCAGGAGGTAAGACTCATGGCGCTAGCCTGTCAGGTGGGATACCCTGCCTTAGAGAAGGACCAGGAGGTAAGACTCAGGGCGCTAGCCTGTCAGGTGGGATACCCTGCCTTAGAGAAGGACCAGGAGGTAAGACTCATGGTCACAATGTCCTACATAAAGATACATATTATAAGCCTTGTACTAAGACATTATGAAGGGTCATACATGCATCAATAAGTAAGAAAGCATTACACCTGGAGGCTTTATGTAAAGTGTTTCATTTTGTTTTTTTCCAGGTGAAATTTTGGGTCAACTTTGACTTCAACTTTAACCATTTGCAGAGCCAAGCAATAGTTCATTTTCAGGCCAAAAGGTGTGTGTTGGTTGAATCAATAGACCCAGTGCATTAAAGTTGTATTCCAATATGAATTCATGTATTATCATGATGGTTTCATCCACATCCTGTTTTGTCATCAGTGACGGTAAAGAGGAAAGTCCAGCAGACAATAGAGTGGATATCACCATTCCTGTTCGTTATGACGCTGAGATCATTATGACCAGGTAACTTTACTTGTAAAAATGTTTTATTAAATGTCTGGTCCCATTTGAGTCCACTCGAGGGACCATTCAGCAGCATCCCAGGGACCGGTGTTGGTCCCAAAGTCACAGGTTTAGGGGACCATTGATTTATACTGAGGCTAGAGATTAGCTTACTCCTTCCTCTCTGTCCTCCTCAGGGAATCCAACATCAACTTCTATGTGGTGGATGAGACCAAGAAGGTGCAGACAAGTGTAAAAACGTTAGATGACATTGGGCCTGAGTTTAACTTCTCCCTCAGGGTAAGCTCGTGGGCTAGTGGAAGTCAACTCATTCTATAGTGATGGTGGCCTTCATGCTGTTCTAATTATATTTGAATGATGTTGAATAAATGTGTTTTTACGATCATTGTAATGAATGATAATGCAACACTTTATGAAGGTATTATGAATGTCTAATGTCTACCCCTTTCAGAACATTTGATCTTTTTATTTTTATTTTTATTATTATTATCTTTTTTTTGGGTGGTAGATCAGCTTAATGTTTGAGATAGATTGTATCTTCCATCAATGCAATTGTCTGCATCACTTCCAATCCCCCATGTTTTTTATATATATATATACTCCCCTTTATTACTTTTCAACCCCGCCATCCTTTCCCTACTTGGGGTAAATTAGTGAACAACAACGCCCAGGCCTCTACTTCCGGTCTATACTTACTATCTACACCTTACGGACAGAGTCAATTTTACAATAATTCTATTTTATTGGTTTTTGAACATTTGATCTTTGTTCTCCTTCAGATTTCCACAGGTAACTTCCCAGTCAGGTTGTTGTACCTGACCATCTCCCTGCCTGTCAGCACGCCAGGGGGGAACCCACTTCTCTACGTCACAGGCCTGAACACACCAACGGTGAAGAATACAGCCCATCTTGCTAAAGACTCCATTGCTAAAACAGCCATTTTCCTGTCCTACATTGCGATGTGAATTATAATTTCCCACACATCTCCCCAAAAATGGGCAAATTTCACTCTTCCCGTTAATGATTTAAATGCATTGGATTGTTGTAGGTTAAGCATTCGCTGGAGAAGGTTTACACCATTGTTAATCTATACCGTTTGGTGGGCAAGTGCCACTTCTGGAAAAAAAGGTTGGGGAGTTGGTATGCAGTCGAACCTTTGAAGGGTGTGCTGGTATCCTGCATGGGGTCTCAGTGAGCTGTGTGTGTGTGTGTTAGTAACTGTGAAGGGTGTGCTGGTCCCCTACAGGGAGGCTCAGTGAGCTGTGACAGTGCCCTGGTCGATCCACTGAAGATTGGAGCCAAACCCCACAAAGCCTTTTTCTCCATGGAGAGCCTCAGAGGCATCCACAGACTGGTGAGCACACATAGACAGGCTCCGATACACACTCTGATACACACTCTGATACACACTCTCTGATACACACTCTCTGATACACTCTCTGATACACACTCTCTGATACACACTCTCTGATACACTCTCTGATACACACTCTCTGATACACACTCTCTGATACACACTCTCTGATACACACACTCTGATACACACTCTCTGATACACACTCTCTGATACACACTCTCTGATACACACACTCTCTGATACACACTCTCTGATACACACTCTCTGATACACACACTCTCTGATACACACTCTCTGATACACACACTCTCTGATACACACTCTCTGATACACACTCTCTGATACACAGTCTTTGATACACACTCTCTGATACACACTCTCTGATACACACTCTTTGATACACACTCTCTGATACACACTCTCTGATACACACTCTTTGATACACACTCTTTGATACACACTCTCTGATACACACTCTCTGATACACACTCTCTGATACACACTCTCTGATACACACTCTCTGATACACACTCTCTGATACACACTCTCTGATACACACTCTTTGATACACACTCTTTGATACACACTCTCTGATACACACTCTCTGATACACACTCTCTGATACACACTCTCTGATACACACTCTTTGATACACACTCTCTGATACACACTCTCTGATACACACTCTTTGATACACACTCTTTGATACACACTCTCTGATACACACTCTCTGATACACACTCTCTGATACACACTCTCTGATACACACTCTCTGATACACACTCTCTGATTCACAATCTCTGATACACACACTCTCTGATACACACTCTCTGATACACACACTCTCTGATACACACTCTCTGATACACACTCTCTGATACACACTCTCTGATACACACACTCTCTGATACACACACTCTCTGATACACACTCTCTCTGATACACACTCTCTGATACACACTCTCTGATACACACTCTCTGATACACACTCTCTGATACACACTCTCTGATACACACACACTGATACACACTCTCTGATACACAGGACTGTTTTGTCTCCTGTACTCAGGACTGTTATGTCTCCTGTACTCAGGACTGTTTTGTTTCCTGTCCACAGGACTGTTTTGTCTCCTGTACTCAGGAATGTTTTGTCTCATGTCCTCAGGACTGCTGGAACGTGAAGTGCCAGGCGGTCAAATGCATCATTAAAGACATGAGAGTGAAAGATGTCTACTTTGTGAACGTCACAACGAGAATCTGGAATGGCACTTTCGCTTCTGTAAGAATAATCTGATATGCACATGGCTGGAACATTGTTTCAGCCAATCCGCATCCAGGATACACATTACCGATTTTATCATGTCTAGTCTACAGTCGTGGTCAAAAGTTTTGAGAATGACACAAATATTAATTTTCACAAAGTCTGCTGCCTCAGTTTTGATGATGGCAATTTGCATATACTCCAGAATGTTATGAAGAGTGATCAGATGAATTGCAATTAATTGTAAAGTCCCTCTTTGCCATGAAAATAAACTTAATCCCCAAAAAGCATTTCCACTGCATTTCAGTCCTGCCACAAAAGGACCAGCTGACATAATGTCAGTGATTCTCTAGTTAACACAGGTGAGAGTGTTGACGAGGACAAGGCTGGAGATCACTCTGTCAAGCTGATTGAGTTAGAATAACAGACTGGAAGCTTTAAAAGAAGGGTGGTGCTTGAAATCATTGTTCTTCCTCTGTTAACCATGGTTACCTGCAAGGAAACATGTGCCGTCATCATTGCTTTGCACAAAAAGGGCTTCACAGGCAAGGATATTGCTGCTAGTAAGATTGCACTTAAATCAACCATTTATTGGATCATCAAGAACTTCAAGAAGAGAGGTTCAATTATTGTGAAGAAGGCTTCAGGGTGCCCAAGAAAGTCCAGCAAGCGCCAGGACCGTCTCCTAAAGTTGATTCAGCTGCGGGATCAGGGCACCACCAGTGCAGAGATTGCTAACGAATGGCAGCAGGCAGGTGTGAGTGCATCTGCACTCACAGTGAGGCGAAGACTTTTGGAGGATGGCCTGGTGTCAAGAAGGACAGTGAGGAAGCCACTTCTCTCCAGGAAAAACATAAGGGACAGACTGATATTCTGCAAAACATTTACATTTTTACATTTACGTCATTTAGCAGACGCTCTTATCCAGAGCGACTTACAAAGGTACAGGGATTGGACTGCTGAGGACTGGGGTAAAGTCATTTTCTCTGATGAATCCCCTTTCCGATTGTTTGGGGCATCCAGAAAAAAGCTTGTCCGGAGAAGACAAGGTGAGTGCTACCATCAGTCCTGTGTCATGCCAACAGTAAAGCACCCTGAGACCATTCATGTGTGGGGTTGCTTCTCAGCCAAGGGAGTGGGCTCACTCACAATTTTGCCTAAGAACACAGCCATGAATAAAGAATGGTACCAACACATCCTCAGAGAGCAACTTCTCCCAACCATCCAAGAACAGTTTGGTGACGAACAATGCCTTTTCCAGCATGATGGAGCACCTTGCCATAGGCAGATAACTAAGTGGCTCGGGGAACAAAATATCGACATTTTGGGTCCATGGCCAAGAAACTCCCCAGACCTTAATCCCATTGAGAACTTGTGGTCAACCCTCAAGAGGCGGGTGGACAAACAAAAACCCACAAATTCTGACAAACTCCAAGCATTGATTCTGCAAGAATGGGCTGCCATCAGTCAGGATGTGGCCCAGAAGTTAATTGACAGCATGCCAGGGCGGATTGCAGAGGTCTTGAAAAAGAAGGGTCAACACTGGAAATATTGACTCTTTGCATAAACTGAATGTCATTGTCAATAAAAGCCTTTGAAACTTATGGAATGCTTGTAATTATACTTCAGTATACCATAGTAACATCAGACAAAAATATCTAAAAACACTGAAGCAGCAAACTTTGTGAATACCAATAGTCGTGTCATTCTCAAAACTTTTGACCACGACTGTAGTCTAGTAGGTAGGCTGTAGTAGGTGTATGGTATTAACAAAGTATGCACTTTACAATTTCAATAATCTATCAATAAATCACATGTTTTTAGCCCTTTTTTACAGTAACAGTTGTCACTATGTCCTTTCCCTATTTTACTTTTACTATATTCATTTTCTGTATTGATTAATCTGTTGCAGGCTAACTGTATTGATTGATCTGTTGCAGGCTAACTGTATTGATTGATCTGTTGCAGGCTAACTGTATTGATTGATCTGTTGCAGGCAACCTTCCAGACTATTGAGCTGACTGCAAACACAGAGATAGTCACTTCTCAGCCCGATCTACTCATCATCGCCCACAAGAAGATGCCGGTAATATTTTTTACATACCCGGTAAACATTTGCATTTCCCACAGATGTGGTATACCGATACGTTGGAGACAACTAGCGCTGCTCTTGAGTATCCATTTCATAATGTGTCTGTCAAAAACAATAGACTGGTTCCAGATCTGTTTGTGCTGTCTTGCCAACTCCTGTGGTTATTCACAAGACAGCACAAACAGATCTGGGACCAGTCTACACAAACCCTTCCCACAACTCAGCACAGGATGTTTTAGTCCTACAGGGACCTCTACTGGTCAACAGACGTATGGCAGCAACACCAGCGGCCTGTCTCTCTCTCTCTCTCTCTCTCATGTCTGTGGTTGTGTTGTTCTGCCCCTCCATTAAATTTGCATTACATTACATTTTAGTCATTTAACAGACGTTGTTATCCAGGGCAGTGCAGTCAGTGCCCTCCCAGGCTGGGGTAAGCAGTAACTGTGCTAAGTAATAAGTAGTAACTGATGTCAGTAACTGGTTGTGTTGTCTGTTGTCCTGCCCTCTAACCTCTCCCATCCAGGTGGGGGTGACAGTCAGTAAGTCAGTTACTGTCCTGCCCGCTAACCTCTCCTGTTCAGGTGGGGGTGACAGTCAGTAAGTCAGTTCATGTCCTGCCCGCTAACCTCTCCCATCCAGGTGGGGGTGACAGTCAGTAAGTCAGGTGTTGTCCTCTACTCTCCCATCCAGGTGGGGGTAACAGTCAGTAAACCAGGGGAGACAGCAGATGTACCTGTGGGGGTGATCGTGGGCAGTGTGATCGGAGGTCTGCTCCTACTGGCTCTGGTGGTGCGGCTGCTGTGGAAGGTGAGGATCAGGGTCCGTATTCACAGTCTCAGAGTAGGACTGCTGATCTGGGATCAGCTTTTCCTTTTTTAGATCATAATGAAAAAGATGATATGGACAGGGGGGACCTGATCCCAGATCAGCTAGATGCATGGTAATAGGTGATGTGTGTCATTTCATAGGATGTCAAATAAATGTTCATCAAAAGAGGCTACCTTAGGACTGAGGACATTGATTACTGTGTTCTGCAACAATCAGAATTTTCTAGAAAGTCTGTGATTTCGTTTTTTGGTTTATATGTTTTTTTTGTTGTTAATGAGATGTACATTTTCTGTCTCCAGTTTGGCTTCTTCCAGAGAAAGTACAAGCAGCTACAAGAGGTGGCAGGTTACAGAGAGGAGAACGGACGGACAGATTGACGGACGGACGGAGAAGACAGAGGACACAGGGCACACAAATCAAAATAACATTTCTCATATTGTTTCTCACAGTGAGACACATGAGAAGTGGCTGTGCCCAACTCGCAGGACTATTTGGTTTACCAGACAACGATTAAGCCTATAGTCCTGGACAAAACCGCTGATAGGCAGTTGAGAGAATGTGTTTGATTAGTTTTGTCTGATATGTCCTCTCTGGGATCGTACAGCAGCAGTTTAGCTATCATGCACTGAATTGGAGTAAATGCAATGAAGGTTATTTTATTATAAACATGTTTAACCCATGAAATACAATAACACTGTGGATACCTTTTTTGGGGGACAATTAACTATGTTAGAATATATGTTTTCGTAACTTATTCATGAGGTGGAAAAGTTTCAACAAAAAAATGTTTTACGTTTTAAAAAGTAAAGAACATTTTTATGTTTATGTAAAATAAAAATAAAATACAAGTGATAGTGATATATTTATACATGCCGTAATGAGACTACAGTTCAAAGGAACATCATGTTGGCTATGTGTGTTAGACTAGGTGCTCAAACTGCAGTCCAAATCAGCGGGTAGTTTTTGTTACCCAGTTGTGAGATGTCATTTTGCCAACTGCTGTACATAATTACGTAACGTTTTACATAAAGTTGCTCTTATACCAAAGTAATTGCATAGTAACGGAGTTGATTGTTTTTTTCTTATTCAATTAGTGAAATTCCATATCATCAAAAAATGCATCCAAACTTAGGCTAGAAGCACAATTTCTGAATTGCTCTGTGGATAACTAGGCTGAGACTAAATAAGGACATAGTTGGCCGAGATGTGTTCGTTTTTTGACAACCATATTTCAGCATCATATTGGGGAGGAACATAGCAAAGCGTTTGGCGCTCCTAGATGGCTGCCCAAGGAGCGATGAATGGACGCAGTGGGGGAAGATGTGTGTGGGTGTGTAGGTGTGTGTTTGTATATGTGTGAAAAAGCTCAGTGAACCGGAATAAATGGTTAGCAGTTGTAAGTGAGTGTTCTCAAAATCACACTTTGAACAGATGTCCATAAAATCGTTACGTTTGCTCGCCAATCAAGTAGGCCTAACTCAATCTTGTTTCATTAGCCTATTCATTTTACTAGGCAAGGCAGTTAAGAACAAATTCTTATTTACAATGACGGCTTACACCAGCCAAACCCGGACGACGCTGGGCCAATTGTGCGCCGCCCTATGGGACTCCCAATCACGGCCGGTTGTTATACAGCCTGGAATCGAACCATGGGGGTCTGTAGTGACACCTCAAGCACTGAGATGCAGTGCCTTAGACCGCTGCGCCACTCGGGAGCCTACTAGGATACCTGGAAGTCAATTGTCAACTGAAACTTAATATAATATGTATGGTGAGGCAGGTTAGTTGGTAAATGATTATTTAATTGCATACCTCAAATTACCCTTAATCCAAACGACCCTCAATCCAATCCTACCGCATCAATGTAATTTCCGAATCAATTTCGATGCGTAAATGTCAGTGTCAAGTATTCCAATAATAAATTGTTTTGTCGGTGTTTTTCAGGAAAAATATTTAGACCTGGAACATCGTGTAATTACACAATTAATGTTCCATTATTCTTGGAAATGTGAGTATAACTTGAGAGGACAAATGTCAAACCGCAAACTTCCCCTCATTGCACTTGTCTTGCCAATACAGTTGTATCGCCGACGGTCTGCAGAAGAGGTCGCCCGCGGACCTCTGTAAAGACCGTTCTGTGTTCCACGGGGGAAGAGTTGACGGTCTAGTCTAGTCTAGTCTAGAGACTATTTCATTCAATGAAATGTAATACTCTCCTTCACTCTGAAGCCTCTTCGGAAACAGGGTTGGTTATATTTATCAGCTTGACCTGACAGAGAAACCCAAACAACTGTCTCTTCTAATATTAGCATCACTCCATGCACCGTGCGATGTATTATTGTCATGCTGCACGGAGAGAGGTCATTCATTCCAATAGAGGACTCTTATTCAAATATTAACACTTTCATCCGCAGTCGATGGAGAAAAAAAAATATCACTTATCACCATTCGAAGTTGGGGAATTGGAGGTCCGCAGACTTGATAGACTTATCTGTTTTATGTGTATGAAATATGGATACAGATATATTGATATTAGCCCAGCAATGCTTTACAATTACAATTAGGCTACTATCGGTGTTATTACTATTATAATTATACCTAGTGTTAGTAGTGGTAGTTTTAGTAGGCTATTATAAATAGTTTATGGCTGCCTAGTAGGCCTATACTTTAATTTAGTCTATAGCCATAACCGCTCATATAAGGAGCAATATCATTGTAATCGCTACATCACACCTATAAACTATAAATGAATTAAATGTAGCCTATTTAAATAATTAAGAAGTCACATTGAAATAAACAGGTAAAGTTAATTAAGAGATGATAGATGCTTTAACATATTGATATTTATCGTTTTTTTTTATTAATTTATTTGCGCCCTCAATGTCTCCAAGTCCTATTGGTCCTCTGCTATTCTTTTAAAACTTAGGCCACAGCAATTAAGCAAGTGTACTAATAATCTGCTATCAAGTGTACTTTCACCAAACTACTGTGATCAAACAGAGAAAGTTGAGACTAAAGATGTCACCTGATTATGATTGAAAGAAGTTTACGGGTGAAATCCCTCTCCCCCTCTCCTCTTATCCCCACCCCCACGGACCAGAAGACCGCCCACCACAGATAGACGACCCGAGACCCCTTATAGATTTAAAAAGAGAGGCTGCATTCTCAGACTGACATTCATTCAACACTCACTGCCACCTTAAGCAGATTACTCTGTCTGCTAGCTGCTAGTGTCAATACCAATACCTTGCTCACTTTTTCACTTTGTCTCCAGCACCATACTCAGGATGCTACAGAAACTCCAGCTCCACCCGGGGATGGTTCTATTATTGATATGGCTCTGTCATTTCATGGAAGATCAAAAAGTACAAGGTATGTTATTTATTTTCCAAATCTTTCGATAAAAAAAATTAATAAAAAAATTAACGTTTATTACCAGTGTAGCCTTTTCTGTCTGCGTCTTGGTGTGAATTGGAACATTGCCAGAGTTCGAGTGTTGCACACTTTTCAAAGGAACATTTAAACATTCTTCCCATTTGGTTTGAAGTTGCCCTCTGTTAGACATATCGTGTAGAAAATCACTGCCTACCAAATAGGTACCAGAAGGTTTCAAAGTGATATTACTGTTATAGTTTTTTAACCCACACAATCGAGGCACCTGGAATGATTTTTTATTTTTATAATTCATGCCACAGATTGGTTGGTGCGGAAGCTCTCAATATAACATTCAGTAAAATAACATAATCATAATTATAAAATACTTGGAATATTTAGTAGTTTAACTGATTGTCATTGCAGTGCTCTGCGACGCAGCAGTGTGCCTGTATAATACGTGTACCTCAAACTGAGATAGAGTTGGAGTGCATGTCAGAGATTAGTGACCGCATATTATTTGACGTATAGAATGTCATTTATCTAAACATATTGCTAAAACGTTTACTGTACATCCGCGAGGGCAGGATTTTCGATATTTTTGCCATATGGATATCGGTACCATCTTTAGCATTGTTACATTGATAAGAATTAAATACAGTTGCTGCTGATAATGATTCATATAGGTGACCTCATACAACAGAAATTGTCCCTTTTCTGCCAACGAAATAAATGTCAACAATGTAGCCTACGGTTTAAGTGCATCCTAAAAAAAGTTCAAAATCACTTGTAAGCTATTAGTGTCCATATGTGTCTTTCGGCAAAGTCTTGTCTTGGTAGCTATTCGTTAAACACTGCTAAGACCGACGTGTCTCATGTGGTGCGAGTCCAGGGATGCGCATTTCTCATAGATATTTTGAACAAGGTTTATACAACTATTAGCAAAGATAATGTTTAATGTTCGAGCTTTTTGATGAATCAAGAATGTCAAGAATACATTTATGTTCTGGATGATGCCAAGAGGAAGAAATGTGATGACTGTTATAACCTATGACATTATGCGATAAGGCAATAGAACTAGATTGTTCAACTGTTTGCTCTGTGAACATGGAAAACTCAATAATATATAAAATCTCAGTTAAAGGTCAGTATTTTCTTCTCCACTCCGTCATACCGGCCAGCTGTCAGTATTGAACATCCATTGGTGACAGAATTAGAAAGTGTTAAAACAGTTACATTACATTGGAAAGAAACAACTGACCAAATACCTTGGGGGAGGAGAGAGAGAGAGAGAGAGAGAGAGAGAGATAGAGAGAGAGAGATAGAGAGAGAGAGAGAGATAGGAGTGGGACGGCATCCGATCTCTCCTCGCCGCGCGATCTCTCGCGCATATCGTATCTCTCCACTTCGCCTCTCGCTCGTATCTCCCTCGCTCAGCTCGACCTCCCCGCTATCGAGAGAGAGAGTTTCAGATAATGACCACTGGGCCCACTTGGGTTGTGTCTGGATCAGGTCAGTCAGTAAGCGGCTTGGGGCTTCAGACTTTAAAAATACTTGGCTAATGTGTGTCTGTTTCCAGCTGGGAACTGCTGGTTACAGCAGGGGAAGAACGGGAGGTGTCAGGTGCTCTACATGCCGGGAATGAGCCGAGAAGAGTGCTGCAGAAGCGGGAGGCTGGGGACGTCTTGGACCGAGGAGGACGTACCCAACAACACCTTGTTCCGGTGGATGATCTTCAACGGCGGAGCCCCCAACTGCATACCCTGCAAAGGTACAAGGGGATGTTTCTATGATTGGCGCATGGTGCACAGAATATGGCTTCGTAGTATTTCACATGGTTGTTTTAGAGTGCAAGCATGTCCTATAAGACAATGTTTATCTTCATTTGTATTTAAGTAAAACTCAATTAGACTAATTTTGGGGAAAAGTCGTTAAACCTAATTGCATCTAAAACAATGTCAGCTCTCCACAATTGTATTTAATATAATTGAAGAACATCGACATCTATTCCACTCCAGAAACGTGCGACAACGTGGACTGTGGACCTGGGAAGAGATGCAAGATGAACAGGAGAAGCAAGCCTCGCTGCGTCTGCGCGCCAGACTGCTCCAACGTCACGTGGAAAGGACCTGTCTGCGGGTCGGATGGAAAGACATACAAAGACGAGTGCGCGTTGCTCAAGTCCAAATGTAAAGTCCACCTGGACCTGGAGGTGCAGTACCAGGGCAAATGCAAGAGTAAGTAAACCGGCAGGTCGATGCGTAAAACAGAACAGAGCCGTTCTTATTCATAGACAATTGTCAATGGGATTCCGTCTGGTGTTGGATAAAGGGTAATACGTAAACACGGGCATTCCCACATAGATCTACGTAGAAAAAGCTCCATTGCTGTGTTTGCATAGTGTGTAACGAGTGGCCTTGAAGGTCAACTGCATTTTCTTTGATTGCAATAAGTAATGGTTGATTCACAGCAGGTGTCGACTGGAGTATACACGTGGTTTGGCTTCTAACTCTACAGATGTTAAAGCATTTGTGTTGATTTTACTCCCTTTCTGACAGAGACCTGCCGTGACGTCTTGTGCCCGGGAAGCTCCACATGCGTCGTGGACCAGACTAATAACGCATATTGTGTGATGTGTAATCGGATCTGCCCTGAACAGACGTCAGCGGAGCAGTTCCTGTGTGGCAACGACGGGATCATCTATGCCAGTGCATGTCATCTGAGGAGGGCGACATGTCTCCTGGGCAGATCCATAGGAGTAGCATACCAGGGGAAATGCATCAGTAAGTAGTGTCTCTTGGGAACACCCATAGGAGTAGCATACAGGGGAAATGCATCAGTAAGTAGTGTCTCTTGGGAACACCCATAGGAGTAGCATACCAGGGGAAATGAATCAGTCAATATTGTCTCCTGGGAACATCAGTCAGTATTGTCTCCTGGGAACATCAGTCAGTATTGTCTCCTGGGAACATCAGTCAGTATTGTCTCATGGGAACATCAGTCAGTATTGTCTCCTGGGAACATCAGTCAGTATTGTCTCTTGGAACATCAGTCAGTATTGTCTCCTGGGAACATCAGTCAGTATTGTCTCCTGGGAACATCAGTCAGTATTGTCTCTTGGGAACATCAGTCAGTATTGTCTCTTGGGAACATCAGTCAGTATTGTCTCTTGGGAACATCAGTCAGTATTGTCTCCTGGGAACATCAGTCAGTATTGTCTCCTGGGAACATCAGTCAGTATTGTCTCCTGGGAACATCAGTCTGTATTGTCTCTTGGGAACATCAGTCAGTATTGTCTCTTGGGAACATCAGTCAGTATTGTCTCTTGGGAACATCAGTCAGTATTGTCTCCTGGGAACATCAGTCAGTATTGTCTCCTGGGAACATCAGTCAGTATTGTCTCCTGGGAACATCAGTCAGTATTGTCTCCTGGGAACATCAGTCAGTATTGTCTCTTGGGAACATCAGTCAGTATTGTCTCTTGGAACATCAGTCAGTATTGTCTCCTGGGAACATCAGTCAGTATTGTCTCCTGGGAACATCAGTCAGTATTTTCTCCTGGGAACATCAGTCAGTATTGTCTCCTGGGAACATCAGTCAGTATTGTCTCCTGGGAACATCAGTCAGTATGTCTCTTGGGAACATCAGTCAGTATTGTCTCCTGGGAACATCAGTCAGTATTGTCTCCTGGGAACATCAGTCAGTATTGTCTCCTGGGAACATCAGTCAGTATTGTCTCCTGGGAACATCAGTCAGTATTGTCTCCTGGGAACATCAGTCAGTATTGTCTCCTGGGAACATCAGTCAGTATTGTCTCCTGGGAACATCAGTCAGTATTGTCTCCTGGGAACATCAGTCAGTATTGTCTCCTGGGAACATCAGTCAGTATTGTCTCCTGGGAACATCAGTCAGTATTGTCTCCTGGGAACATCAGTCAGTATTGTCTCCTGGGAACATCAGTCAGTATTGTCTCCTGGGAACATCAGTCAGTATTGTCTCTTGGGAACATCAGTCAGTATTGTCTCCTGGGAACATCAGTCAGTATTGTCTCCTGGGAACATCAGTCAGTATTGTCTCCTGGGAACATCAGTCAGTATTGTCTCCTGGGAACATCAGTCAGTATTGTCTCCTGGGAACATCAGTCAGTATTGTCTCTTGGGAACATCAGTCAGTATTGTCTCCTGGGAACATCAGTCAGTATTGTCTCTTGGAACATCAGTCAGTATTGTCTCCTGGGAACATCAGTCAGTATTGTCTCCTGGGAACATCAGTCAGTATTGTCTCCTGGGAACATCAGTCAGTATTGTCTCTTGGGAACATCAGTCAGTATTGTCTCTTGGGAACATCAGTCAGTATTGTCTCCTGGGAACATCAGTCAGTATTGTCTCCTGGGAACATCAGTCAGTATTGTCTCCTGGGAACATCAGTCTGTATTGTCTCTTGGGAACATCAGTCAGTATTGTCTCTTGGGAACATCAGTCAGTATTGTCTCTTGGGAACATCAGTCAGTATTGTCTCCTGGGAACATCAGTCAGTATTGTCTCTTGGGAACATCAGTCAGTATTGTCTCCTGGGAACATCAGTCAGTATTGTCTCCTGGGAACATCAGTCAGTATTGTCTCCTGGGAACATCAGTCAGTATTGTCTCCTGGGAACATCAGTCAGTATTGTCTCATGGGAACATCAGTCAGTATTGTCTCCTGGGAACATCAGTCAGTATTGTCTCCTGGGAACATCAGTCAGTATTTTCTCCTGGGAACATCAGTCAGTATTGTCTCCTGGGAAACATCAGTCAGTATTGTCTCCTGGGAACATCAGTCAGTATTGTCTCTTGGGAACATCAGTCAGTATTGTCTCCTGGGAACATCAGTCAGTATTGTTCCTGGGAACATCAGTCAGTATTGTCTCCTGGGAACATCAGTCAGTATTGTCTCCTGGGAACATCAGTCAGTATTGTCTCCTGGGAACATCAGTCAGTATTGTCTCTTGGGAACATCAGTCAGTATTGTCTCCTGGGAACATCAGTCAGTATTGTCTCCTGGGAACATCAGTCAGTATGTCTCCTGGGAACATCAGTCAGTATTGTCTCATGGGAACATCAGTCAGTATTGTCTCCTGGGAACATCAGTCAGTATTGTCTCCTGGGAACATCAGTCAGTATTTTCTCCTGGGAACATCAGTCAGTATTGTCTCCTGGGAACATCAGTCAGTATTGTCTCCTGGGAACATCAGTCAGTATTGTCTCTTGGGAACATCAGTCAGTATTGTCTCCTGGGAACATCAGTCAGTATTGTCTCCTGGGAACATCAGTCAGTATTGTCTCCTGGGAACATCAGTCAGTATTGTCTCCTGGGAACATCAGTCAGTATTGTCTCCTGGGGAACATCAGTCAGTATTGTCTCCCTGGGGAACATCAGTCAGTATTGTCTCCTGGAACATCAGTCAGTATTGTCTCATGGGAACATCAGTCAGTATTGTCTCATGGGAACATCAGTCAGTATTGTCTCCTGGGAACATCAGTCAGTATTGTCTCTGGAACATCAGTCAGTATGTCTCCTGGGAACATCAGTCAGTATTGTCTCCTGGGAACATCAGTCAGTATTGTCTCCTGGGAACATCAGTCAGTATTGTCTCCTGGGAACATCAGTCAGTATGTCTCCTGGGAACATCAGTTCAGTATTGTCTCCGGGAACATCAGTCAGTATGTCTCCTGGGAACATCAGTCAGTATTGTCTCCTGGGAACATCAGTCAGTATTGTCCCTGGGGAACATCAGTCAGTATTGTCTCCTGGGATCATCAGTGTCGATTTGTCTCCTTGGAACATCAGTCAGTATTGTCTCTGGGAACATCAGTCAGTATTGTCTCCTGGGAACATCAGTCAGTATTGTCTCCTGGGAACATCAGTCAGTATTGTCTCCTGGGAACATCAGTCAGTATTGTCTCCTGGGAACATCAGTCAGTATTGTCTCCTGGGAACATCAGTCAGTATTGTCTCTTGGGAACATCAGTCAGTATTGTCTCCTGGGAACATCAGTCAGTATTGTCTCCTGGGAACATCAGTCAGTATTGTCTCCTGGGAACATCAGTCAGTATTGTCTCCTGGGAACATCAGTCAGTATTGTCTCATGGGAACATCAGTCAGTATTGTCTCATGGGAACATCAGTCAGTATTGTCTCTTGGAACATCAGTCAGTATTGTCTCCTGGGAACATCAGTCAGTATTGTCTCCTGGGAACATCAGTCAGTATTGTCTCCTGGGAACATCAGTCAGTATTGTCTCTTGGGAACATCAGTCAGTATTGTCTCTTGGGAACATCAGTCAGTATGTCTCTTGGGAACATCAGTCAGTATTGTCTCTTGGGAACATCAGTCAGTATTGTCTCCTGGGAACATCAGTCAGTATTGTCTCCTGGGAACATCAGTCAGTATTGTCTCTTGGGAACATCAGTCAGTATTGTCTCCTGGGAACATCAGTCAGTATTGTCTCCTGGGAACATCAGTCAGTATTGTCTCCTGGGAACATCAGTCAGTATTGTCTCTTGGGAACATCAGTCAGTATTGTCTCCTGGGAACATCAGTCAGTATTGTCTCCTGGGAACATCAGTCAGTATTGTCTCCTGCGAACATCAGTCAGTATTGTCTATTGGGGAACATCAGTCAGTATTGTCTCCTGGGAACATCAGTCAGTATTGTCTCCTGGGAACATCAGTCAGTATTGTCTCCTGGGAACATCAGTCAGTATTGTCTATTGGGGAACATCAGTCAGTATTGTCTATTGGGGAACATCAGTCAGTAGGCCTAACCATAGGAGACAGCATAGTGGGTCTGTCCAAAAACAACCCCCTAGCCCCTACCCCCTAGACACTTAACCATATGGCTTAAACCTGTCCAATCCTCTAATGCAGCGTTTACAGTGGCAGCCCAATCCTGATCTTTTAACCAGTTATTGGCTGGTCTGATTGGTCTGTGTTTGAAGTATTTTCCACATACATTTACATCATTTAGCAGACGCGCTTATCCAGAGCGACTTACAAATTGGTGCATTCACCTTACGATAGCCAGTGGGACAACCACTTTTTTTCTTCTTCTTTTTTTTATGGGGGGGGGGGGGGAGAAGGATGACTTTATACTATTCCAGGTATTCCTTAAAGAGGTAGGGTTTCAAGTGTCTCCCCCCTGACACGTAGATCCACAAGTGTCCAGAGGTAGGGACTAGAGGCTATTTCTGTTAAACGTACATTATACCGTGTGTACAATTGGACAAATAAAGTGATCTTGAACAATATTGTCTGAATGTAGGCCGTACCTCACAGGCTGCTTCTCTTCGCCAACATTCCAGTACTTTTGTTGTCCCCTCTGCCAACATTCCACATAAACTGAGGTTCTCAGAGCAGAGAACCTCCATTTGCTTTGGAGGTCCAGTTGAGTGTACAAGGCCGGGACTACTTTGTAGTTGCTACTGTTAAGACGTTGGCAACATCACCCACACCAAAAGCTGGGGTGTTTTCCTGGGAAGGTTTACTCTCCTAACTACACAGACACTGGAACATAGAGCGTGACTCGTGACTCATTAACCACTAGGGTTACATGGTTATATGCCGTGCAGCACCAGCGATGCGTCAGTCTGATGAGTTCTCTGTGTCTCCTCCTCTCCTCCCTCTGGCTCCAGAGGCCAAGTCGTGCGAGGACATCCAGTGCAGCGCGGGGAAGAAGTGTCTGTGGGAAGCCAGGATGAGCCGAGGCCGCTGCTCCCTCTGTGAGGAGGCGTGTCCGGAGAGCCGGACGGACGAGGCGGTGTGTGCCAGTGACAACAACAACTACCCCTCAGAGTGTGCAATGAAGCAGACCGCCTGCTCTCTGGGAACGCTCCTGGAGGTTAAGCATTCAGGATCTTGCAACTGTAAGTAATCACCACCTAGCGAGACAATTCCATGTTCTTTCCCAACAACAATCCCTCTCTGACACCAAGTCATCCCTGAAACCAATCCCTCACTGACACCAAGTCAACCCTGAAACCAATCCCACACTGACACCAAGTCATCCCTGAAACCAAACCCCCCCTGACACCAATCCATCCTGACACCAATCCCTCCTGACACCAATCCCTCACAGACACCAACTCAAACTGACACCAATCCCTCCCACGACACCAAGTCAACCCTAACACCAATCCCGCCCTGACAGCAAGTCTCTCCTGACACCAAGTTCCCAATGACACCAATCTCCCTCTGACACCAATCCCTTCCTGAAACCAAGTCAACCCTGACAACAATCCCTACCTGACACCAAGTCCCTACTGACACCAATCTCCCTCTGACACCAATCACCAATCCCACCCTGACACCAATCCCTCCCTGACACAGATCCCTTCCTGACACCAATTACTCCCCGACAACAAGTTAACCCTGACACCAATCCCACCATGACACCAATCCCTCCCTGACTGACACCAATCCCTCCCTTATACCAATCCCACCATGACACCAATCCCTCCCTGACTGACACCAATCCCTCCCTTATACCAATCCCACTCTGGCACCAATCCTATCCCGACACCAATCCTATCCTGACACCAATCCCCTCCCATCCTGACACCAAGTCACCCCTGTCTCTTCTTGAGCCCCGCCCCCCACCCCCCACCCCCACCCAACACAGTTCAGCTTACACATCTGAAAGGACTTGAGCATTTGAGACCTTGCATGATCCTGTCTGTGTTGCTGGCTTCTTTAACTTTTCTGCATTCTTTTTCTGCCCCCAAAAAAGAATAAACAAAAAAGTGAATAAACAAAATATATCAATAGATAGTTCAAAAGAAAACTTTTTTTTGGGGGGGGGGGGCGTCGTTGAGATTAGATGCTAACTTCATTACGCTAACAAGCATATATATGGAGACTAACTTTTTCAGTTAAAACAATCATTGTATTTAAAGTCTAGATGAGTTTGTGGTCATAGTGATCCCATAGTGATCTGCTGTACTCTAGCAGGTTGCCTTAAAGTAACTGTCCAGTGAAAATCTAACTTTTAAAAAGTTTGTATTCTGTTAACTCATACCGAAATAATGTTGTTGACTCATCCTACACGCTTATTTTTCCAAAGCTTAAATTTGAGAAGAAAAAAAAACACTTCAAATACCCCACATAAAACTTGTATCTCAAATTGACCTTTTTAAAAATGCTTATTTTTTCCTCACAGAGTATGATGTCATACTCCTGAGGAGGATGAGCTGGCCAATCAGCCAGTCTTCTCGCATTAACATTTTCTTTATGACCAGTATACGCCCACACCATTCCAACACAGAAAAGCTACTTTTTAACATACCTATAAACTTTTTTGGAAGTGAAACAACTTCACTCATATTGTAATTAACTATAGGTCATATTTCATAAAAATCTAGAAACACTGGACAGTTACTTTAATTTCGATGCAGTTTTTTTTCAATGTCATAGTTTTTCAAAAAAATTTTTTTATCTAGACAGCCACATAATGATAATATCTTTACAGCTTGTAAATTCTCTGGTCACATTGCTAATTATATATTAATTATGTATTGACGTTTGTTTGTGCTTTTTGGCTGTAATCAATCAGTAATTCAAAACGCTCTATGTCTGTAATGGCATACACCGCTCTGCTAACATGTAATATGAGTCAGAATGAAAACAGTTGCATACATTTATATATGTGCATAAGGTGATTGCAACATTGGTGCCATTTTAGCTAAGATATTTAAGGTGAACCTTAACACGTAGACTACCTGTTTCTGCCAGTACTTTGAGCCATTCCTCCTTAAATAGTGTGCTCACTAAACTGGGACCACCTGCCATAAATTCTCGCAAAATAGCCTCAAGGAAATGATACGAGTTACATGCCAAGTCGCTATATGTCAAAGAATGTCTGATGATTTCATTTAATTTTCATCATGATGAATACATCTGGATATCCTCCACTCCACTCCATTATTAAATGGTATTCGACTGACTACCTAAATGTACGTGTTACTTAAAGTATGGGACCAACGTCATGATCACCTCATGGGACAGAGGAAAGTTACAGATAATAAGCAGAAGAAGCCAGGGTTGGGGTCAATTCCATTTAAATTCCAGTCAATTCAGAAAATAAATAACTGAAAAGCATTGAGGAGAATTGGAATTGGAATGTCAGCGTACTTCCTGAATTGGAATTGGAATGTCAGCGTACTTCCTGAATTGAAATGGAATTGAAGTATCAGCTCTCTTACTTCTCTGTCTCTCTCTGTCTGCCAGTAGAAAATGAACATGTGTGCTGTCTACCTGTGTGCGCTGACTTCTCTGTGTGCTAAATGTAGTGAATGTGTTGTTGTCTATCAAACACACTGATTCCTTTGGATTGGATGATGAGGGACTGCCTGTCACACTTGCCTGTGTTGCTTTTTTTATTTTCCAATTGCAACAACAACAAAAAAACTATTCTGTAGAAAATACCTCAAAGTTGTGTGATTGGTTGGCCTGGCTGGTGACCTGCTTGGTAGAGGTCGTAGGTCAAACTGCTGCGACACATAGAGACTTCTCCGCCCAACGGCAGCAACTGCACTGTGTCTGAGACAAAAGGACACGTAAAAAGAAATATGAGAACGAAACCAGCAACATAAACACGAGCATGTGTCTGACTGTCTGCTTTCAGGAATCTGCTGCCAAAAAAAGACCTGAGCCATTGAACCCTCAGATCGCCCCCCCGCCCCACATCCCCACCCAGCGTTACCCCCCTCCTCTGCTGTCATAGCCCTGACTTCCTAGTTCCTAGACCTAGATTATGTAAACCATGTTTCATAATTATGGGATGGGGGGAAGCCTCAGTGCCAAGTCTCCTCTCTGCCCTGAAACATAACAGGGCTGTACTGGGGCTTTGTGGAGGGATATGGGGCTTTTGAGAACATTCAGTAAATATTCTTCTGCTACGTTGCTGTTGTGGACCTTATTTATACAATAGCTCCAATATATTCCCCCCATCTAGCCATTACAGAAGCCCCGGAGGAAGAAGAGGAGGAGGAGGAGGAGCAGGAAGATCAGGACTACGCGATTCATATCCACCTGTCCTCCTTATTGGATGGATAGGCTGTCTGTCATATCCACCTGTCCACCTTATTGGATGGATAGGCTGTCTGTCATATCCACCTGTCCACCTTATTGGATGGGATAGGCTGTCTGTCATATCCACCTGTCCACCTTATTGGATGGATAGGCTGTCTGTCATATCCACCTGTCCACCTTATTGGATGGATAGGCTGTCTGTCATATCCACCTGTCCACCTTATTGGATGGATAGGCTGTCTATCATGTCCACCTGTCCTCCTTATTGGATGGGATAGGCTGTCTGTCATATCCACCTGTCCTCCTCATTGGATGGATAGGCTGTCTGTCATATCCACCTGTCCTCCTCATTGGTGGATAGTCTATCTTCCTCCCCTCCTTATTGGTTGACAGACGTGGTCTGCACTAGGGCCAGGAACCATGTCCATACTGTACAGTACATGTGTGTATGTGTATTTATTTTTTAAAGAGACAAAAGTATACATATAGTTCAGTTCTGCTCTAGATGTTTTATTTATAATGTGGTTTGTGTTTTTATAATTTATACAGTTACAACGTTCTTCCTATCTACCGTGTTATTGTTACCGCCTGTTCTTTTCACTCTCCTTTTATTCTTCTTTATGTTTTTTATTATGAAGAAATATATTCGTCCAAAGAGAAGCAGTGTTATTTATTGAGTAAAAGTATCCGTCTCCTTTCTGCAAGCTGTAAATAGTCTTCCCTGAGCTGCGACGAACCCGCTTACGTTCTCACTGTCAGACATCTTTATTATCACAGATGTTTTATCATTCACACATGAACGCATGTTTAGCCTACTGTGTGTTTATTTCATGGGGGGGGGGGGGGGGGGGGGGGGGGGGGGGATCTATCTTATCTGTCAATCATTTTAAATATACAGAAATGTTTTCTCCTTCTTGTTTACATCTCATTATAACTGGCCAAAGGGATTCCGTCAGTGGTTCTGCAGTGCAGTGTAACAGTGCTTTATATGGTGCAGCCTGGTCCCAGATCTGTTGACCCACTCCATCGCTGCTCAAGCTATTGTTCGGCATGACAATTACACGAGTTGGCAAGAGAGCAGAAACCGCCTGGCGCCCAGAATACGGCGATATTAGTCCAGCATGAGTTCTGTGAGTTAGGCTACTCCTCGAACAATTTGTTTCCCAGTGGAGATGTTCGTCTAACCCAGGCCGTCACTCGGTAGCCGTATTTTTGAACATTTGACACGTTAGAACATTTGTGTGCTGCCAATGTTTTGCTCCGTATTGCTCTCGCAGAGCCCACCTGACTAGAGATGGCTACACAGCAGTAGTTATACCCCATATCAAACATATCACTTTGCTTTTCTCACTGTCAACGCTGTTGTTGTTTTCCAGAATGCATTTTTATTCTCAGACATCACAAGAGAAATATACAATTAGAAGTATATAGTTTTGTATTTTTTTTTAAATGTAAATGTCATTTGTACATACACAGTGTGATGGTATTTGTACAGAAATTAAGAGTGAAACAATAAAATAAAATGTTCCCTAATATGTTTTGTATTTACTGATCTCTGCTCACCTATGGAGTCTAAGTCAAGAGGTTTTGTTATGACAATCAATTAGCTATTTTACAACCAATGATACCAAAAAAAAACTACGTATTTTACCAAATTATTCAACATATTAGATATTAATATTTACATTTCAGTCATTTAGATTTAGCAGACACTCTTATCCAGAGTGGCTTATAGTGACTTAGATAATACCAAAACAACGAAATACCTTACTGATCCATACCTTACTGATCCATACCTTATTAAAGAAATGGGACATTAAGAAATGTCATTAACTACAACACCTG